GGTGGCTCAGTTGGTTAAGCGACTGCCTTTGGCTCAGGTCATGATCCTGGAGTCCCGGGATCGAGTCCTGCATTGGGCTCCCTGCTCAGCAGGGAGTCTGCTTCTCCCTCTGACCCTCCCCCCTCTCATGTGCTCTCTCTCATTCTCTCTCTCTCAAATAAATAAATAAAATCTTTAAAAAAAAATAGAACTATCCTATGATTCAGCAATTGCACTATTAGGTATTTACCCAAAGAATACAAAAATACTAATTCAAAGGGCTATTGCACCCCTATGTTTATGGCAGCATTATTTACAATAACCAAATTATGAAAACAGCCCAAGTGTCCACTGATTGATGAATGAAGAAAGATGTGGTGATATTCCTCTCTCTCTCTCTCTCTCTCTCTCTCTCTATATATATATATATATATATGAGAGAGGACCATTACCCAGCCTTCTAGAATGATGTTTCTAATCTCGTATGGCACTCTTCATCTCTGATTCTTTTTTAACTTTTCTCTACAGTAAGAATCACACTGATGTCTTTTATTCTTTTCTCAAGCCCAGTGGGTATCCTTATGATTGTTGCTTTCAATTCTTTATATTTTATTTTTATTTTTAAAAGATTTTATTTATTTGAGACAGAGAGAGTACAAGCAGGGGGAGCAGCAAGGAGAGAGAGGGAGCAGACTCCTCGCTGAGCAGGGAGCCAGATGAGGGGCTCGATCCCAGGTAGGGATCATGACTTGAGCCGAAGGCAGACACGCAACTGACTGAGCCACTCAGGCACCCCCTGTTGCTTTTAATTCTAACAGGCATGTTACTTACATTTCATTTAGATTTATATATATATATAGAGAGAGAGAGAGAGAGAGAGGAACATGATTCAGCCATAAAAAAGAATGAGATTTTGGCATTTGCAATGATGTGGATAGAACTGGAGAGTATTATGCTAAGCGAAATAACTCAAAGACAAATACCATATGATTTCACTCATATGTGGAATTTAAGAAACAAAACAAACAAGCAAAGGGGAAAGGGAGATGAAGAGACCAAGAAACAGACTCTTAACTATAGAGAACACACAGATGATTAGCAGAAAGGAGGTGGGTGGGGGATGGGTGAAATAGGTGATGGAGATTAAGGAGTGCACTTGCTGTGATGAGCACCAGGTGATGTACCAAAATGTTGAATCACTACATTGTGCACCAGAAACTAGTATTACGCTGTATGTTAGCTAACAGGAATTTAAATAAAAAATTTTTAAAAATAAATGGGTGAGTAGTAAAAACTTAGGAAACAAAATCCTCAGCGGGTCTTGGAGATAGCCAAAAGTAAATCCAATTTACACTACAAAAGTCCTCAAATAGGTTCAGTCAGGCGTAGGTACCAGAAACATCCCAAAGTAAGGGTCAAAAGGAGTGGTTAAAATAATTCCTTGAATTCCATATCAGAAGCAGAATCCTAGATCCCCTCCCCAACTGCACACACCTTTCTGAATATGCCTCCGTTCCTCTTGCCAAATAGTGTAGGTTTTTCCTCTTTATAGGCAAACAGAGAGGATACCAAGCACACACGAAAGCAGGGGTACTGACGGTGCTGTAGGTCTTTCATTTGCCCCTCCAGATCCCCTTCCACCCTTTTCCAACCTGCTGTGTGTCCTGGGAAGATGACTAGTGTTGACTACATCAACAGACGCCCCTATACTCTGGCTTCCAGTTAGATTTGGCTACTGGGGAGTATCACCAGGAGATCCAAGGGAAGGAAGAGACTGAGGTTGGAAGATTGATTCCCACACTTTCTTCCCTGTAGGTCCAGGTAGGCTCGTAGCCTCTCGACCAGTTTTCAGCTCTTGTAAAGTAATTGTCTCCACAGTACCAATCTGTCTGTGGCATCTGATAATGCTCCTTCCCCTTATCACTGGAGACCTACTGTTATTACCTCCGAAGGTACTTGTTACGATCTGAACTGTGTCATCCCAAAATTCATATGTTGAAGTCCTAACCTTCAGGACCTCAGACTGTAAGTGTATTTGGAGATAGAGTCTTTAAGGAGGTAGTTAAGTTAAATGAGGCCATTAGGGTGGTCTCATATAACTCATATAATGACTGCATCCTTATAAGAAAAGTAGAGTAGGGGGCGCCTGGGTGGCTCAGATGGTTGGGCGTCTGCCTTCGGCTCGTGATCTTGGGGTCCTGGGCTTGAGCCCTGCATCAGGCTCCCTGCTCAGCGAGATGCCTGTTTCTCCCTCTGCCGTTCCCCCTGCTTGTACTCTCTTGCTCTCTCTGTTGAATAAATAAATAAAATCTTTAGAAAAAGAAAACTAGAGTAGGACACAAATACAGAGGTTAGATTGTGTGAAGTTGCAGGGAAAGATGGGCATCTATAAGCCAAGGAAAGCAACCTCAAAAGAAATCAACCCTGTCAATATGCTGATCTTGGACTTGTAGACTCCAGACTGTGAGAAAATAAATCTGCTTTACTACTAGGTTGTTTTAGCCACCAGGTCTACGGTACTTTGTTGTGGCAGCCCTAGCAGACTGATATAGTACTAAACTATTCCTTGTGGTTTCCTTATGCCCTGCCCATTCCTGTATAAATAGGCTCTTTGTTATACTGCCCTCAACATATCCAAATGAATTTGCCATTTCTGTTGGGGCTCTGTCTAATACAATAATGGCACTAAAATGGGCTTTAAACGAACAGGTACACCAAATGCCAAGACGCCCCAGCCCATGGGATGCCTGGATGGCTCAGTCATTGAGCGTCTGCCTTCAGCTCAGGTCATGATCCCAGGGTCCTGGGATCGAGCCCCGCATCGGGCTCCCTGCTCGGCGGAGAGCCTGCTTCTCCCCCTCCCTCTGCCTGCTACTCTGCCTACTTGTGCTCTCTCTCTGTCAAATAAATAAAATCTTAAAAAAAGAAAAAAAAAGGCAACCAAGCCACGTCTTCAAACTTCAGAAACAGAAGAATAAAGACATTTTCACACATAGAGAGTTTCAAAATATTTACCTCTTGTGAAACTTTTCTCAGGAAGATACTGGAAATCATGCTCCATCAAAATGGAATGGTAAACCAAGAGAATACATGGAAGAGGGGAAGCCAACTATCCAACAGAGGAGAGAGGTAAAATGACCCCTCAAAGGTGATGGTCAAGTGTTAGGCGGGATAAGAGCTGTACGCTGGGCATAGGGCGCAGCCTTTCAGCTCTACGAAATTGATAGGATACACATTAAATTGATAGAGTACAGTACCTGAAGGTTATTTAGACAACTGGGGAAGAATTGGGGATTGAATTATTGATAAGTATAAAGAAAACTAAACAAATGAAACACTAAGACTACTGGGGCACCTGGCTGGCTCAGTCAGTAGAGTATGTGACTCTTGATCTGAGGGTGGTGAGTTCAAGCCCCACGTTGCGCATGGAACCCACTTAAAATAAAAATAAGACTATTAACTCCAGCAATAACAAAAAGCTGTGCAAGAAAGGGAAAATGATCATAGTTTAATAATTTGCTCACCTGTGAATAATGTGTACATGGTCCTAATAACGTGAACCCTAAATACCTATCTAACTATAATTATAATACAAATGTATTGTAATACAAATGTGTGAGAATACAAAAATTCTCCGTGGCTCTTGTATTTCTCATGTCCTGTGAATAAGGCACTGACTGCCCTTTATTCTGTACTGTATTTTCAAGGATGTTTGTATGGTGAACAGCCTTGGAAGACAAGAGATTGTATCTCCTTTTGCAGTAAATGCAGGAGAGTTACTAATATAATAAAGATAAGGTCTTCATCCAGAGTAAAGTTCAGGCCCGCTTACTACCCGTTGTAAAAGATTCGCTTTCCCTAAAGTCAGGGCTCCTCTCCTGTAAGGCACCCCCACTGCATGTGCAGGTGCCCATATGGCCTCCTGTGTCACCCTGTGGGGCTTGGGGCTGGGAGCACCAGTACCAAAATGCCAATATTCTCGCTGCTCATATTGCTATGTATAATAAACCCTCCTTCGGGGCGCCTGGGTGGCTCAGTTGGTTAAGTGACTGCCTTCAGCTCAGGTCATGATCCCGGAGTCCCGGGATCGAGTCCCGCATCTGGCTCCCCGCTCAGCGGGGAGTCTGCTTCTCCCTCTCCCACTCCCCCCTCTTGTGCTTTCTCTCTAATAAATAAATAAAATCTTTAAAAAAAAAAATAAACCCTCCTTCGTTCTACTAGCATCCATAAAACTGTGCCAGGCAAACCTGCTAGCTTCCAGGTAGCATAAAATCTTCGACCCTTCAGTTTTGACAAGCAGTATTTCAAAGGTGGGGAAATGAAAAGGATACACGTGAGCAATGAATGTAAAGGAAGGAAAAAGAATGAGATCTTCAATTGCGGCAGTGGGAAGTAAACAATTCCTAACACAAGGATCAAAGAATAGCAGTTCAAACATATTATTTAGGACCTTGGAGGTAAGTATCCTCCCAGAAATCAACCAAAAGTGATGAAAGTAGTTGCTTCCGGGGAAGAAAAATATGGTAAAAATCCTTGAGGAAAGGGCTAATATCCAGAGGATAAGTGGAGGAGACTGGCTCTTGTTTAAAAAATAATAAATAAATAAAAGTCTGTACCCTTGCACTGTCATTTCCAGTATCTATCTTTTTTATAGCACTTTCAAAACCTGTGAAAGGGAATTGGATTTTATGTCTTCGAGTCCTACTTCTGTAAAAGGACTGATAGTGAAATAATCAAAATGATATTGCCATCACAATAGCTATCAGTTACTAAGTACTTACTGGATCCTGAGCACTATTCTCTCTATACTATATGTATTAACCCTATGACATTATTATCCAAATTTTATACACAAGGAAACTGAAACACAAGTTTTAAGTGATTTTCCCATAACTGCACACAATCCTAACCTAGATAGTCCAGCTCTAAAGCCTGCACACCACCTCCGTTCGGGGAATCAAGAGGTGTCTATAGTAGTCAGGTCTCGGGCTGCAAGTGTCAGAAACCTAACTGAAACTACCTTAAGTAACAAGGGAAATTTATTAATCCATGTAAACAAATTGTATAAAGAGAGGGGTAGTGTTTTCAGAGTTCACTTGAATTCACTGTATCTGACTGGGGTCTAAGTTCTTAGGTCCAGATGTTGGCCTTATTATCTCAGCCTCCTCCAAGTTGCAGGATAGATGGCCCAGATCTCAGCCTCCTCCAGGTTGCAGGATAGATGGCCCAGTATCAACCTTACAGGCTGTAATTCAAAGAGAAAGAGAATGAAACCTTGAGATGCCACTGCACACCCATCAGAACAGCTCAAATCCCAAAACACTGACACCACCAAATGCTGGCAAAGACATGAGACGAGAACTCTTGTTCATCACTGGTGGGAATACAAAATAGTACAGCCACTCTGGAAGACATTTTGGCACTTTCTTATAAAACTAAACATACTGGGGCACCTGGGTGGCTCAGTCGGTTGAGCATCTACTAACTCTTGATTTTGGCTCAGGTCGTGGTCTCAGGGTTGTGGGATCAAGCCCCACATTGGGCACTGTGTTGGCCATGGAGCCTGCTTGGGATTCTCTCTCTCCTCTCTCTGCCCCTCCCCACCCCGCCCATGCTCTCTCTCCACTCCCCCCCCCCAAAAAAGCCCCTAACATACCTTTACCATGTGATCCAGCAATCATGCTCCTTGGTATTTACCCAAATGAGTATGACCACACAAAACCAGCACACAGTTGTTTACAGCAGTTTTATTCATAACTGCTAAAATTTGGAAGCAACCAAGATGTTCTTCAATAGGTGGAAGGATAAATAAACTGTGGTACATCCATACAATCAAATATGATTCAGTGCTAAAAAGAAATAAGCTATCTAGATGAGAAGTCAGCAAACTATGGCCCATGGGCCAAATCTGCCCCCGCTCCTGCTTGTTTTATAAAACTCTATGGAAACACAGTCATAAAAAAATATAAAGAAATTAGGTGTGAAGCTCCAAAATTACATGAAGGAAGCTTAAATGCATATTGCTAAGTGCAAGAAGCCAATCCAAAAAGGCTTCATACTCTATGACTCAAACTATCTAACATTCTGGAAAAGGCAAAATGCTCTCTCCTGGTTACCTGAAATAAATCCAGAGAATAACACCACTTGCCCTACTTACGGTCATATGCCCATCCCTAAGACTGTCGCTGTGGTCAGCAGAACAGGATGTACACTGGCCAGTTTTGAGTCACAGGCCCACCACTGTGGCTTGGGGGCGGGGGGCAGGGCTGGGATGGCTGGGTGTTCCATTCCTTAGCCTCCCCCAAATCACCTAATGAGAGTGCAGGAGGGAGAGCTCTCTCCAAACGGGGAGGGACAGAGAGGGGAGCGGTGCTTTTATCAGGAGGAAGAGGAAAGGATGCTAGGCAGAATAACAGAGCAATGGCTACCCCTCGTATTATGTATGTGTTTAGAAGTTCCATTTAATTGTTTTTTAAAAGGAAAGGACATTTATCACTTTCCAGTTTATACAATGTAGTACCACTTCAAAAGAGGATTAATGGAGAGAAAATCAGGGCAAACAAGGATTGAGAAGCAGAAAGGAAAAACAAGTACAGAAACAGACCTAAAGAAGGGGGCACTGAATGGTGAGCGCTGTGAATTGTGTAAGACTGATGAAGGCGTCCCTGTGTACTTCCTGTATATAAGAAAAAAAAACCCAAACTTATTTGGTCAAGTCACTGCAGTTAAGTTTTTATGACATGCAGCAGAACACTGGGATCTTAAATGATACAAATAGCTAACATCACTTTTTATCACCACCTGTAGAAGTTACAAGTTATATGTTTGTATTAAAAACACAGGGGCGCCTGGGTGGCTCAGTCGTTAAGCGTCTGCCTTCCGCTCAGGTCATGATCCCAGAGTCGCTGTGTCTCTCTCTGTCAAATAAATAAAATCTTTAAAAAAAAAAAAAAACACAAAGCCTGGGAGGCCTCGGTGGCTCAGTCGGTCAAGCATCTGCCTTCGGCTCAGGTCATGATCCCAGGGTCTGGGATCGAGTCCTGCATCGGGCTCCCTGCTCAGCTGGGAGCCTGCTTCTCCCTCTCCCTCCACTCCCCGCTTGTGTGCGCTCTCTCTCTTTCTCTCTCAAATGAATAAATAAAATCTTTAGGAAAAAACAAAACAAAACACACAAATTCTCTCACCATGTTCCACCTAAGACCAACTGTTTGTATTTAAAATGTCTTGGCTGATTAAGGGTGCACTGAGTAGCTGGGGGAAGCTAACTATTTGGTGAAAGAATGGAAACTAAGATTTTGACTGGATCAATAACATTCTTAACCAAATGACTAAAGGAGCTCTACTTTATCCCACTTTGGGACTTTTATGAAATTGTATGTAATAGTATGGCTTTACTCCGAAAGAGGCATGATTACGTTCTATGAATTCCCATTATTTCTGCTCATTTAATCCTTTATAATCAATGTACTTCTACCAGTAACAAGTAATAAAAACCATAGCATTTCTCATTAACCTTTTATTTTTAACGTAGCTTTACAATAAAGAAAGAGAAAAGAAGTAGATCATTAAAAAAATACCAGCTGTCAATTTAAAATTTTAAATGAGGTTCTCGTTAAACAAAGCAGTAACACTATATCCTATAATTACATCTTTACTTGTATATACAAGAACTGTGTGCAAAGTGCTTTTCAAACTATAAAATGAGACTTTGGAATAGGATACAAATGGTTATCCCTAGGAGTCAGTCACCTCCCAGTGCCTGTAATGAATCACAACTGCTTACATTCTTAATTGGCATTTAGTTAATTGATTTACTAAAGAGAAAAGCCACCATTTTCTGATACCAAATTGATATCTAATTTTTGAAAATAATCCCTGATCTACAGGTTTAAACCTTATTTTTACATATAATTTAGTTACTTGCTTCATTTTTCCCCCCAAATAACTAGAGAACAGTTTTTAAAAAGCAAATATTAGTAATCCCTTTAGATAGACACATTTTAATCAAGATGTGATTAAAAAATAAAAAACACCAAGTTACATGAAAAAAAAAGGAAAAAAGAGTCTGGGGAAAGCAAATTATATTCTTATACTTTTTTCTTCAAGCAAACAAAGAACCACTCTCTATCCTAGGGATGGATTACTTTCTTACTGAAAACACTCTGAACACATGATGCTTAACCCAACATCATACATACCAAGAATGCTTAAAAATTATTTGCTACTATGCCTTTGAATGAGAGAAATCTTTACAGTACAAGGTACATCTAAATAAGTGGAGTTTTGGAAGGTATACAGGAAGAATAATTCCAAACAAAGCCTTCAAGGATCTAAATGACAGTCTTCTTTTTAGTCTAAATGGGGGACATTTAAGTTTACATTAGTTGGGTGTGCCTTACTCATATGGAAGCACATGGCCTGCTAGCTTGCAAATCCTTCCATTACCCCTGTGAAATAGGTGTATCTCAAATATCATACCCCGAAGGAAAAACGGAGGCACTAAGAGGTTGAGAGTCCAGTCTGTGTAGTTTACCAGTTGCAGAAAAGTGATTTTCATATGTTTCCTTTTTGACCTTTGTAAAAACAGTATAAATAAGTTTTCATTTTACATTTCAAAGCACCCTATGAAGCAGAAACAAGATATCCTCAGATAAAGAAAAGCGATTACAAAGGAATAAATGTATACGATTGAATAAAATCTTACCAATGATCTACAGGCTCAGAGTATACTTTCAGACCTACTTGAAGCCGATTCTTCATCATTCTTGTCAGCAGGTTATGTCTAGTCTGTGTTCGTTTGTAAAAAGTAAGCCTCGGACGTAGGGCTCTACTTTGTAATAAGGACGCCTAAACACTAAAGTCAGCGCTGTGAATGCCCAGGAGGGATTAGGGGCAGCCCACAGAGTGGATGTGGAGAAGATTCTTCCAGCAGTTTTCTAGTCCTTGGCATGGCAATTCAGTGACTAAGACAGAAAGTTGATTTAATCTCATTTGAAATTCACTCCTGGTTTGCATTCTTTCCCATAGTTAATTTAGAAAATTAAAAATATCCAGTTACGGGTGCCTGGGTGGCTCAGTCGTTAAGCGTCTGCCTTCGGCTCAGGTCATGATCCCAGGGTCCTGGGATCGAGTCCCGCATCGGGCTCCCTGCTCGGCAGGGAGCCTGCTTCTCCCTCTGACCCTCCCCCCTCTCGTGTGCTGTCTGTCTCTCTCATTCTCTCTGTCTCAAATAAATAAATAAAATCTTTAAAAAAAAATATCCAGTTACAAATCTCATCTCATTATCACAACTGTACCTTGGAAAAGCAGCTTATAGTTCTCTATGGGAGATAATCAGGTAAACATGTTACCAAACAATAATTAATAATTTAATGTCCTTCAAGTTCAAGGGTAGGGCAAATCTATGTATGCTACTTATAACCTAGTTGAGATTAATTATTCAAGTATCAGCAATATTAGTCCTTAAAATGTTATCATTTGTGTAGTGCAAAATATATATATATATGTATATATGTACACAAACCAAACTATTCGACGACAAAAAGAAATGTAATCATCACAAACTAAGATTTCTTGTGAGTTCCACATTCCATTTCATTCTGAGGTCATTCAGGCCCCGTAGTCTTCTTGGGGAAAATATCATTTTCTTCAGTTCAGTTTTCTTTAAAAACAAAGTAAAAACCAATTTCCTATGAATATAAATGCAACCTGAATACAAAACACATCCATACCAGAGAATTCTTTGGATAGCATAACAATAATATTCACATTCAGAATCAAACCATAAAATTACCAACAGTTTTTTTTTTTTAAAGATTTTATTTATTTGACAGAGACACAGCGAGAGAGGGAACACAAGCAGGGGGAGTGGGAAAGGGAGAAGCAGGCTTCCTGTGGAGCAGGGAGCCCGATGTGGGGCTTGATCCCAGGATCCCGGGATCATGACCTGAGCCGAAGGCAGACGCTCAACGACTGAGCCACCCAGGCGCCCCAATTACCAACAGTTCTTAAGAAATTACTTCTCATCCTTTTCTAGTTGGCTTAATGCAATTCAGAATTTTGGGAATTATTTTATAACTTGGAAAAGTTCTGAAACAAAAAAAAGCTGAATAAGATTACAAAAGGTTGATAGATGTATAACCTAGACTACTCATTTAATCATCATATATTGGGGTACCTGGGTGGCTCAGTTGGTTAAGTGTCTGACTTCAGCTCAGGCTATGATCCCAGGGTCCTGGGGTCGGGCTCTCTGCTCAGAGGGGAGACTGCTTCTCCCTCTCCCTCTGCCTGCCGCTCCCCCTGCTTATGCGCTCTTTTCTCACTGTCAACTAAATAAATAAAATCTTAAAAAAAAAAAAATCAACATATATTTTGTGTTTGTTACTTTCCAGGCACTGTGCCAAGCACTGGGGATTCAAACATAAATGAGGCAGGCTCTCAGCTCTCAAAAGAGCTCTCAGGTTAGCTTGGGTGTGAGGGGGAGACATATAAACTAACAATTTGGAAAGGTATAACGTGACAGTTTTAGTGATAGCAGAGTGAATGAGTGATCAGAGAAGGGGGTGGGCTTGTTAGCACAAAACACAATTCGCGTATGATCTGAGATCTGGGAAAGGCCCCACAGTGGTAAAATCTCTATTCCCTCCCCAGAACTCAAGATGCCAAAATGTCTGGAACGTTCTCATCACAGATTCATTCCTCACCTCTGTAGAAATGCTCTTATGCAACCTCCTTGGCAGGAGTGGTATTTTAGATAATACCATCAGCCTTTATCTTCTGCAGAAAGCCTCTTACATACACGTCCTTTTTTTTTTTGAAAGATTTTTATTTATTTATTTGACAGAGAGAGACACAGTGAGAGAGGGAACGCAAGCAGGGGTAGGGGGAGAGGGAGAAGCAGGCTCCCACTGAGCAGGGAGCCCGACGCGGGACTCGATCCCAGGACCCTGAGATCATGACCTGAGCCGAAGGCAGACGCTTAACGACTGAGCCAACCAGGCGCCCCTTATGTACACTTCCTTGGCAGGAGTGACATTTTAAATAAGCAGATCATTTTTCATATTATGTAACATAAGGACAGCCCTTAAGGCATGAAGAAAAAAAAAAGGTCCCTGGAGCCAGAACAGAATTGTGGGTGGTACTTTTTTTTTAAAGGTTTTATTTATTAATCTGAGAGAGAGAGAGCACCAGCTGGGGGGAGGAGCAGAGGGAGAGGGAGAAGCAGACTCCCCACTGAGCAGGGAGCCCAAAGTGGGCCTGGGGCTGGATCCCAGGACCCCAAGATCATGACCTGAGCTGAAGGCAGATGCTTAACTGACTGAGCCACCAAGGCGTCCCACAATTGCAGGCTGGTTCTAAAGACTAACAGCCTGAGTGAGGTTTTAGCAGAAATGTTAGCTGGAAGGTACATGAACAGTTATCAACACTTACTAACAACCCACGTGATGTAGATTCCTACACAAAATCCTTTGCAGATTTACAAAAAAGCATACAACTCTCTAATCGTCAATCTTCTCCTGTAATAGGTAAATAGACACAAATCCCCATCAGTATTTTCAGAATTTTAGAATGTTTTTCAAGGCTCTTCCTGAGATCTTTTTCTCCTTTTTTCTTTTTAAATTAACTTGCAAAATGTAGGGTATGGTGTGATAAGAGAAGAAAAGTTACAGAAAACAACAGATTAAGGGTAGAGGGAAACATGATGCCTTTCACCTTGCCTGCTCAAGGATCTGCTCGGCTGCACTGATGGTTTCTTTCCCCTCCTCAGAAGCCTGGACTTTCTGAGGCAGGACCATCTGCCCCAGGCTCCACCTGAAGAGTGTTCCTGCAGAAATCCTCCCCACACCTACCTAGTTTCTAGAACCTCGCTACTGAAAGCTCAGTGCCGCAAGAAAACTACACGCATATTTATGAACCTGGGCAGAATGATCAAGAAAAGCGGTTGCATCTCTCTCTGTCAAATAAACAAATAAAATCTTTAAAAAAAAAAGAAAAGAAAAGAAAAGAAAAGCGGTTGCAAACATCCTTCCCTTCAAAGTAATAGCTTAAGGGTAGTCTTTTGGACTTAATAGGGCTGCTTTTAGAATTTTACTCCTGGATAATTTGACTAGAATGGTCAGGTTGGGTAACTGGGTAGAGGTAGAACCACAGGAGGCTGTGCAGGGCCAATTTTTGAACAAGAAGTCTGCAGGTGTTGCTCTTCATACCACATTCAGAAAAAATGTTTTTGGTTTTTGATTTTTTTCTGACCTCCTGCAGAGTGATAATACAATGTTTTTTTCATATTTTATTTATTTACTTGACAGAGAGAGAGAGCACAAGCAGGGGGAGTGGCAGGCAAAGGGGGAGGGAGAAGCAGGCCTCCCACAGAGCAGGGAGCCCGATGCGGGGCTCGATCCCAGGACCCTGAGATCATGACCTGAGCCGAAGGCAGACGCTTCACCGACTGAGCCACCCAGGCGCCCCGCGAGTAATTTACTTTTGAATTTAGATTCTTCTGCACTGGCGGGGGGGGGCATACCCACTCCTTTCCACACCTTTCCCACTCTAACTGGATTTCTGGATCTTTCTCCTCATCTCTAACACAGAACCCATCTCCTCCAAACCATACACACTGCTCTCTAGTTTTCATTCCTATATAACTGTCAGAATAAAAACTGCTACACACTTCCAGATGAAAAGATGTCTAAGTCCCCTCAAGGCCGAAACGTATTTCCATATCAAATATGGCTCTATCTCCAACCCCAGTTAACTTGTTACATATATAAACAAATAATACATAAAACACTATCTCATCCAGGGCACCTGGGTGGCTCAGTCGGTTGAGCATCCAACTCTTGATTTTGGCTCAGTTTCATGATCTCAGGTCAGGGCCTGGGATCAAGCCCCATGTCAGACTCCACGCTCAGCGGGGAATCTGCTTGGGATTTACTCTCTCTCCCTCTGCCTCTGCCCCTCCTCTCCGTGTGCTCTCTCTCACAAATAAGTCAATAAATCTTTAAAAAAAAACCCCACTATCTCATCAAAATGCAGTTGCGGGGGCACCTGGGTGGCTCAGTCATTAAGCATCTGCCTTCGGCTCAGGTCATGATCCCGGGGTCCTGGGATCGAGCCCCACATTGGGCTCCTTGCTCCGCAGGAAGCCTGCTTCTCCCTCTCCCACTCCCCCTGCTTGTGTTCCCTCTCACTGTCTCTCTCTCTCTCTGTCAAATAAATAAATAAATAAATAATCTTTAAAACAAAATGCAGTTGCGCAGTCTAAATAATTGGTAATTTGGAAGGACTAAACACTTAACATACTGAAAACTTGATGAAGATTCAACAATAACAAAGTAGAATATTAAAAATAGGTTAAGATAGCAGGAGGGGAAGAATGAAGGGGGGAAACTGGAGGGGGAGATGAACCATGAGAGACAATGGACTCTGAAAAACAAACTGAGGGTTCTAGAGGGGAGGGGGTGGGAGGATGGGTTAGCCTGGTGATGGGTATTAAGGAGGGCACGTACTGCATGGAGCACTGGGTGTTATATGCAAATAATGAATCATGGAACACTACATCAAAAAAAAAAATAGGTTAAGAATGGGGCGCCTCAGTGGCTCAGTCGGTTAAGCGGCTGCCTTCGGCTCAGGTCATGATCCCAGGGTCCTGGGATCGAGCCCCACGTCAGGCTCCTTCCTCAGCGGGGAGCCTGCTTCTCCCTCTCCCTCTGCTTGACACTCCACCTGCTTGTGCTCTCCCTCTCTCTATCTCTATCAAATAAATAAATAAAATCTTTAAAAAAAAATAGGTAAGAGTTTCTCCATTCAGAGGCATCTGTAAGCAATTGAAAGGGATACTTAGGAGAAATGGCATAGATGTCTACCAGGAAGGAATATCTTAAAAAAATACTTTTAGGGGGCACCTGGGTGGCTCAGTCGTTAAGCGTCTGCCTTCAGCTCAGGTCATGATCTCAGGGTCCTGGGATCAAGCCCCACATCGGGCTCCCTGCTCTGAGGGAAGTCTGCTTCTTCCTCTCCCACTACCCCTGCTTGCATTCCCTCTCTCACTGTGTCTCTCTCTCTGTCAAATAAATAAATAAATAAATCTTTAAAAAAAACACAAAAACTTTTTAGAAAAATTGCAATTTTGGGTGACTGCTGAAGCAAAGTCATTGTTTTTTCCATCTTTAATAAAGTGACAAGCTGCTGCAAACTTAAGCATAACATAAATTATTAACTCAAGGAGGCGTTAGGGCTTTTGTCTTGTGCCAAATTTCTCTACTCTCCAATCCTCACCTTTCAACAAAGGAAACATGAAAAAGAACTTCGAAATACATTGCAAATTATGTCAATACCTAACTTTAGTGCCACTGTGTCCTGCTACTTGAATCTAGCATTCTTATTAAATAGTGAAAAAAGGCTGGGTCCTTTTTCCCTCCATTTATTAGGGAAATTAAAATTTAAAACACTGTGTGAGGGGCAGCTGGGTGGCTCAGTCGGTTAAGTGTCTGCCTTCAGCACAGGTCATGATCTCGGGGTCCTGGGATCGAGCCCCATGTCAGGCTCCTTGCTCAGTGGAGAGCCTGCTTCTCCCTCTCCCTCTGCCTGCTCCCCTCCATGCTCTCTCTCTCGCTCACTCTCTTTCTCTCAAATAAATAAAATCTGAAAAAAACCCCCAAAAAACAAAAAACCACTGTGTACCACTAAACCCGACCATCATGGGAGAAATGTAAAATGTGTAAAAAGAAGAAAAGAAAAGACTTAAACTAAGGTTTATCGAACCCTGACACCCACCTTCCACACAGCTGAAATGACATCTATACAAATGACTTAGAAAAGAGGTAAATAACACTGTGAGAGCAGTTTTTGTTTCTGAACTCCTAACTCAAGTTTTTTCAAGTGAGTGGGCGTATTCCAAGAACATGAATGTACCACGGAACTTACTTAGTTCTCTTACGAACGTAAGTCAAACTGTCTTAACATAAGCAGAAAGCAGGAAGACTAAAAGGATTCACCCAAATCCCGATGCATTTCGGTTTCTCTGCCATCAGGTATTATCACTGGAGCACTTACATTAACTAGTGTGCTGTTTATCCCTTTCAGAGAAGAGAAGGGCGAATGTCTCATTTCTGCTTTTGATAGCAAATACAGTTAATTAGGGACTTGGGTTCTTTGGTAGAAGAACAACATACCCATAATTACTTAAACTTGTAGATTTTAAAAAATGTGTCTCTATTGCACATATTTAAGACAGCACTTAAAGTTATCAAATATCCTATTTCTTCTCCCCATCTGTTATTTAATGGGACATGGTGATGAAAACACCAAAAACATAATAAGTGAGGCCATGAGTGGGGTAAACGATGGTCTATATGCCCAGCCATGTGAAGTAATTCAGTTTACGTAGTGTCTAAAAAAAAAATGCTTTAATGTACCCAAGAGATTGAGCCTCAGGTTATTCCTAACCTAGACAATCTCAGAGCCCTTTCAAGGATCCCAATCTATTATTCTCAGACCTATTTGACGTATCTCCTGGCATCCCAAACTGGAATATTGGCCCTCAACTTAGAAAATCTCTATTTCTAGAGATAGTCAACCACCAGGCTAAAAATCTTCTGAAATGTCAATGTCTACTTCAAAGAATATGCAGGCATTATTTGTTTCCCTACCTATTGTCTATAGTTGTTTAATGTTAGCAAAGGCCCAAAATAACCATCAGACTTTAATTTTTTTAAGTCTAACAGGTACCTAGAAATCCACTAGATATCATTTCCAAGATAGTTCAGTCTCAGGATCGGTACAGAATGTCCAGTATGACAATACATCTATAAAACAGAGCTATCCTCTTCACTGCTATTGAAAGCTCTGTCTACTACAGATTATAAGACTCTGCATACTATTGTCAATCATAAAACTAAATTACCTTCTCCTTCTTTGATAATATAAATGCACCAACCACTGGGAAGTAAAAGGCCATATGATAGCAAAAGTTAATGCACCAGGAGACATCTCGAAGGGCCACCAAGATGGTCTCTGAGAAAATAAAATAAGCTGGTCACCAGTCTATTACACATTGCATGTATAAACATAAAAACATACTATTTCATAATTTTGAAAATATAAAACTTAATAACAAATCTCAGTCCTGCTAAACAGAAGGGAGATATTCTGTACCTCAGAGCATAATTCTGTAAGTAGACTTCCAGGAGTACTTTAGACTTAAACATATAACAAGTATATTTTAACTTCAAAGCTCTACAGGGTAGATTTCATTTGGAATACTTCAAGAACCTTGTATACCTAAATTATTTTAAGTTATTTGAAACCCTGGGACTTAGACTTAAGAATTTCTTACCTGTGAGGGAGGCTGATTACAGGTCTGTAATGTTGATGATTTTGCCTATAAATACAAATAAAAGTGATTTAGCTTGGACAAAATGAGAAAAAAATAGTAATTTTTCTATTTCCTATCTTTTTTTTTTTTAAAGGCTAAAATATTAGTTTATTCTGCTAACCATGCTTCAATTGTCCTAAAACCCATACTGGCCAAATAACAAGGTCCCTAAAATTGCTAGCCAAATAAATACCTTTGACATTTTATATTTTATAGTTCAAATTATATAAAATTATCAAAATAAAACCTCAAACTAATCTAAACCATTACTTCTTTTATACTGTTATTAAATTACCTAATCAACTTTTCTTATTCTTTAATTTCCAAAAAAATTACCAATTTACAAACACATCTGACAACTGCAGCCTTGATTATTATTAAAATTATAAATCATATCCAAAGATCTGTTTTGAAAATTTATGAAAAGTTATAGCACAAGAGGTATGATAAATATGAGAAATGAACTGTCAGTGTTGTAGTTTTATTTTTATTTTTTTAAAGATTTACCTATTTATTTGAGAGAGCGAGAATGAGAGAGAGAGAGAGTACATGAGAGGGGGGGAGGGTTAGAGGGAGAAGCAGGCTCCTCACCGAGCAGGGAGCCCGATGCGGGACTCAATCCAGGGACTCCAGGATCATGACCTGAGCCGAAGGCAGTCGCTCAACCAACTGAGCCACCCAGGCACCCTGTAGTTTTATTTTTAAATTTTTTTCCAGCTTTATTAAGACATAATTTGAGATATAATTAATATATATATGTGACAATTTGATACATATATATATTGTGAAATGATTACCATAATCAAGTTAATTAACACATTCCTCACCTCACACAGTTACCTTTCCTGAGGGGAGGAATACTGTCAGTTTTTCAATGAGATGTATAAACTAAGCAGAAAAATTTCAAATTAATTTAGGAAATTTATATTCCAACTTGGCTCATCCAGAAAACAAGTTTCCTTATACTAATTGTTGGAAACTTATTACTCTAGTTTCTCCATTTATTATAACTTCATAGAAATGGTATGAAAATTAATAAGATCATTCATTGATTCATTCATTAATTCAGTAAATATTTACTCAGCATCTATTATGTACCAGTTACTACTCTGGGTGTTAGAGATGCAACAGGGAACAAAATGACAAAAAGTGCTGCCCTAATGGAGCTTATACTGTAATGGAGAGATACAAATAATAATGAATAAATTAGTAAAATATATAGTATATCAGGGAGTGATAAACGCCATAAAGAAAAATAAAACAGGAGGGAAGAAAAAAAGAAAAAGAAAAACAGAGAGAGGAGATGAGACATGTTGGAGGAGGAGAGTCTTGCAATTTTATTTATTTATTTATTTATTTATTTATTTATTTATTTATTTTTAATTTATATATATATTTTTTACAGATTTTATTTATTTATTCATGAGAGACAGAGAGAGAGAGAGAGAGAGGCAGAGGGAGAAGCAGGCTCCCAAGGAGCAGGAAGCCCAAAGCAGGACTCGATCCCAGGGCCCTGGGATCATGACCTGAGCCGAAGGCAGATGCTCAACCATCTGAGCCACCCAGGCGCCCAAGTCTTGCAATTTTAAATAGGGTGGTCAGAGAAGGCTTTGCTGACACTGCAGCAAAGACTTAAACAAAGAAAATTATGCTCTGTGGCTAAGGGGGGTGGGGTGGGGGGTTGAGGAGAACAATCTTCCGTACAGAAGGAACAGCAAGTGCAAAGACCAAGGGTGGGAGGGAGCCTGCGGGCAAATTCAAGGCACAGCACAGAGGCCTGTGTACTGAACCAACAGCAGGAAGTGGTAAGGAGGAGGCAGGCTTTAAATTTCCTTGTTATAAGTAATATGATCTCAAGGACCCCAGTCCCCAGGATGACTATACCTTACAGGTAAAACTAAATTAGTTGCCTCCAGATGTTGCATTAGTCCTCACAGACCATTAAGGCATTAAAGAAGAGTATAATCAAATTGCAAGTGCTGAAAGAATCTAGACAAGGTAATGATCTTTATGATATTATTTGTAATTGTACCTTGCAAGCATAACGATATATTTTAAAGATTTACTTTTTTTATTTGAAAGAGAGAGTGTGCACATGCAAGCATGCACCAGGGACGGCCAGAGGCAGTGAGGCGGAGAGAGAGAGAGGGAGAGAGAGAGAGAATCTTGAGCAGACTGCTGCTGAGCAGAGCCCAATGCGGAGCCCAATGTGGGGTTCGATCTCACGACCCTGAGATCATGACCTGAGCCAAAACCAAGAGTCAGACGTTCAACCGACTGAACCACTTAGATGCCCCAAGGCATAATAATATTTAATCAGGAGATTTACCTTAGGGCACTTTCTTCAGAATACAGGATAGATTTACAAAATTGGGCTCCCTGGTATATGCTGACTTAACTAAGGTCACATGAGTCCGCGTGATTTTGAACGGAATTCAAGGTGACCAAATCCCAATGTGATGACACTATTCTCATTAAAGCAGCAACTACTAACAAATACTAAGGTAGAGTCAGAACTATTAAATGTTAACTATTAGGGCGCCTGGGTGGCTCAGTTGGTTGGGCGACTGCCTTCGGCTCAGGTCATAATCCTGGAGTCCCGGGATCGAGTCCCGCATCGGGCTCCCTGCTCTGCAGGGAGTCTGCTTCTCCCTCTGACCCTCCTCCCTCTCATGCTCTCTGTCTTTCATTCTCTCTCTCTCAAATAAATAAATAAAATCTTTAAGAAAATAAAAAAATGAAATAAAATAAAAACTCATTTCCTCGGGCGCCTGGGTGGCTCAGTTGGCTAAGCGACTGCTTTCGGCTCAGGTCATGATCCTGGAGTCCCGGGGTCGAGTCCTGCATCGGGCTCCCTGCTCGGCGGGGAGTCTGCTTCTCCCTCTGACCCTCCTCCCTCTCATGCTCTCTGTCTCTCATTCTCTCTCTCTCAAATAAATAAAATCTTAAAAAAAAAAAAAAGTTGACTATTAGCGGATTTTTTTTCCTAAGTAATAAAGGGTCTGGAAAGGCAAATGAAGAGTCCCAAGGACCCTTGCTTCCATCTAAGCAGCACGGGCACTAGCTGTATAAGTAGCATTGTGATTTTTTGGTTTCATGATATTTATCCATACGTGTTGTTAAAAAAAAAAATCAGTGACACGTGTGAAAGCACAGTAAGGAAGACTTTCTTCAATGGAGGAGGGGCTATCACTATGGGCATAGGGACTTCTACAGTAGGGGGAGATGGATGGGGCTCAACTCCCATCGCAGCACGGGCGAGGGGGAATTTCCTTATCAAGGAGTAGGGCTGGGATCGGTGGATGGAAAATTCCTAACAGGAAACATCAGGGGTAAGGAAGATTCTGGCTAAACCGACCTAACAGGATTCTTGCTGAAGACAAACCAGGGTGATGTCAGACATCACCTGGGTTTGGTGGAGGATGAGGAGCCTGCCTGGTTAAACGGAGGGAGCAGGGTTCTTGATAAAACTGGATTTTACAAGGGAGAAGTGGAGAGATGGGCCTAAGAGAAAGTTCAGGAGTCTGACTAAAGTTTAGTCGAGCAATGAATTTTTGTTGGTATCAGTGGTTTTTACATATTTAGAAGTTCTATTTACCATTCTACAGCTAGATTAAAATAAGGATTACTGAAATTTTTTTTTTTTAAGATTTTATTTATTTATTTGACGGAGAGGGACACAGCAACTCTGGGATCATGACCTGAGCTGAAGGCAGACGCTTAACGACTGAGCCACTCAGGCACCCTGAATTTTTTTTTAAAGATTTTATTTATTTATTTGACAGAGAGAGACACAGCGAGAGAGGGAACACAAGCAGGGGGAGTGGGAGAGGGAGAAGCAGGCTTCCCACCAAGCAGGGAGCCCAATGTGGGGCTCGATCCCAGGACCCTGGGATCATGAGCTGAGCTGAAGGCAGACGCTTAACAACTGAGCCACCCAGGCGCCCCTACTGAATTTTTTGGAAAAGATTTCTGAAAGGAAAAATCCCATACAGTTGCAACCATTGCAAAGAAAATATGAAGACAGAAAATTATTTAAGTGAGGTCCTCTCTAAGGCTGTGAACTTCCTGAGGGAGGAAACCAAGCTGGCTTACTATCATTGCTATTATCGTCACCATCATCATGTCATGTGACAGTATGTAGATGTCACATGAGTGTTCCAGGCACTGTACTATGCATTTTACTTAATTCTCTGAACAATCCTGGGGCGCCTGGGTGGCTCAGCCATTAAGCATCTGCCTTCAGCTCAGGTCATGATCCCAGGGTCCTGGGATTGAGCCCCACATCAGGCTCCCCGCTCAGCGGGAAGCCTGCTTCTCCCTCTCCCACTCCCCCTGCTTGTGTTCCCTCTCTCCCCGTGTCTCTCTCTGTCAAATAAATAAATAAAATCTTTAAAAAAAAAAATTCTCTGAACAATCCTATGTGATAGGCATTACTAGTATTTCCATTTTATAGATAAGGAAACTGAGGCATAGAGAAGTAAACTAACCTGACTGAAGACCACACAGTAAGTGGCAGAGATAGGATTTGAATCCAGGTAGTTTGTTCCAAGCTCTGCTACACAGCGCTATCTCCCCTTTCCTTTATGCGTCCAATGCCCAGAAATACTTTTCTGGTGTGTGGCCATTCAACAAATATTTATTGAGTGCATGAGCCTCAGGCAGCTTACTGTGATGGAAAGTGCATTGCATGAGAAATCTGGAAAGTTTAGGTATAGAGCAGGCTCTGCCCCAATCTCACCTTCTTCCTCTGCTGAACTAGAGGTACTGAACTAAGTTTCCTTTATTTCTGCAATCTACTACTATTCTATCATCAGTTTATTTCTTTTAGTCATCCAAATGAATTATGCAAATTTTAAGGAAAAAGTCTTTAACATGTCAGAATCTTTTTTGATTTGCTTTATGTAAGCTAAGAATAAAAAACTTTACAAGTTTTAGGGGCGCCTGGGTGGCTCAGCCGGTTAAGCGTCTGCCTTCGGCTCAGGTCATGATCCCAGGGTCCTGGGATCAAGCCCCGCATCGGGCTCCCTGCTCAGCGGGCAGCCTGCTTCTCCCTCTCCCTCTGCCTGTCTCTCTGCCTACTTGCTCTCTCTCTCTCTCTCTGTCAGATAAATAAATAAAATCTTTAAAAAAAAAAAAACTTTACGAGTTTTTTCTTTATAAGAAAAAAAATCAAAAGAATTTTTAGCAGAATTTCAATACCATTAAAAACATTAACTGTAAACAAAATACTCTTCAAAAAAGTCACAGAATAGGAGCACCTGGGTGGCTCAGTTGGTTAAGTGTCTGCCTGTGGCTCAAGTCATGATCCCGGGGTCCTGGGATTGAGTCCCACATTGCACTCCTTGCTCAGCAGGGAGTCTGCTTCTCCCTCTCCCTCCCCTTCTCTCCCCCGCTCTCAAATAAAAAATCTTAAAAAAAAGATTTTACTTTCAAGTAATCTCTACACCCAACGTGGGGCCTGAACCCTCAACCCTCAACCCCAACATCAAGAGACCAACACTCCACTGACTGAGCCAGCCAGGCGCCCCTTAACAGCACTAATCCTTCTAATACTAAGCTACCCTACTTCTACCTCCAACATGGTACTGGTAATTTTACACTAAAAAACTTTTTTTATTAAGTGGCAGTTCGCTTTTGGGTCAGTCTTTTTTTTTCAACATTTTTGTTTTGTTTTGTTTTAAAGTAATCTCTACACCCAACATGGGGACCGAACTTGCAACCTTGAGATCAAGAGATGCATGCTCTACCGACTAAGCCAGCCAGGCACCCCCGGGTAAGTCTTTTCTTAAGTAAACAATATTTTCAAAGGTAGATCCTTTTAATTTAATTTTTTTAAATTACTTTATTTTTAAAAAGTAATCTCTCTGCCTTACATGGGGCTTGAACTCACAACACAGAGATCAAGCGTTGCATGTTCTATCGACTATGCCAGCCAAGCACTCCTAAGTCCTTTTTATTTTTTTAAAAATCATTACATTAAATTGATTTGTGTAAATCTGATCAACACAGATTACACTTATATACTGTTTTACAGGATCAGCAGTGGAGGAAGACAAATTCGAAAGCTCACCTGCGAAGCCGTTAGTGTTTCCAGTTTATGAAGTCTCTGAAGGACGTTCTGCATGTCCTCCTGCAGGCGCATGAGGACGAGAGCAATCTTCATTGAGGCTGCCTCTTGACCCTCTATCAGAGCCCCAGCGCTCCCCATCACCTCCGCTTCCTACTTGCCGACCCTTGGATCCTTCGCTCATGTGTGGCATTCTATGCCCTATTTTAAGACAGCAAAATAAGGTAGTTTTAAATAATTCTTATAAAAGTAGCAACAGTGCGTTTTACTCATTTTCCTCTATTATTTCTTTGAGTTCTAAATCTCCAAAGTGGAGTGGAAGCAATTAGGAAGTACACAAAACACAGAGAGCAAAGAAGTAGATATATAAGCTTCTATTTGTATTAATATACTCAGTGTTTTTCTTGCTAAGGTTTTATAATGTACTTATTACACTAGCACATGATGAAATGCATGTAATTCACACATAATTTACATACTTGGGCTGCATTCTCAAAAATTCCTTACTAATGGGGCACCTGGGTGGCTCAGTTGTTAGGCGTCTGCCTTCAGTTCAGGTCATGATCCCAGGGTCCTGGGATCGAGCCCCACATTGGGCTCCCTGCTCGGCGGGAAGCCTGCTTCTCCCTCTCCCACTCCCCCTGCTTGTGTTCCTGCTCTCGCTGTGTCTCTCTCTGTCAAATAAATAAATAAAATCTTAAAAAAAAAAAAAATTCCAGGCACCTGGGTGGCTCAGTTGGTTAAGCGACTGCCTTCGGCTCAGGTCATGATCCTGGAGTCCCTGGATCGAGTCCCGCATCGGGCTCCCTGCTCAGCGGGGGGTCTGCTTCTCCCTCTGACCCTACACCCTCTCATGCTCTCTCCCTCTATCTCATTCTCTCTCTCAAATAAATAAATAAAATCTTTAAAAAAAAATTCCTTACTAAAAAGATAACAAGACTGAAAAAATTTGAAGACTGCTTTTTTAGAGTACTAAAAGCTACACTAAAATAGCTATATTTTCCACTTGGGTCATTTTTTATTTCATCACAGTGTAAGTCTCTCAAAAGGTTTTTTGGTTTTTTTTTTTAAGATTTTATTTATTTATTTGACAGAGAGAGACACAGCAAGAGAGGGAATACAAGCAGGGGGAATGGGAGAGGGAGAAGCAGGCTTCCCGCGGAGCAGGGAGCCCGATGCGGGGCTTGATCCCAGGACCCTGGGATCATGACCTGAGCCAAAGGCAGACGCTTAACAACTGAGCCACCCAGGCGCCCCTCTCAAAAGTTTTTTTAATGTATTTTTATTATAAATACTATTATACTTATCACTACTATTAAGATTTTGTTATATAACCATCCATTATTTTTCCTATGCATATATTATAGAATTGGCATTACCCCAACACAAGATTTTGTGTCCTTCTTTTAAAAAATATCATAAACATTTATCTGCATCATTAAATTTTATTTAAAAAACACTGCAACGGCTACGTAAATTCCCCAGTAAGACCACGAAGTAATTTACTCAGTCATTCTCCAACTTTGGATAATTAGGATGATTCCAAATTTTTGTGATTACAGATTACACTGTGATGAATGTCTTTGTATATAAATTCTTGTCCAGGGCGCCTGGGTGGCTCAGTTGTTAAGCGTCTGCCTTTGGCTCAGGTCATGATCCCAGGGTCCTGGGATTGAGTCCTGCATCGGGCTCCTGCTCGGCGGGAAGCCTTCTTCTCCCTCTCTCACTCCCCTTGCTTGTGTTCCTGCTCTCGCTGTGTTTCTCTCTGTCAAATAAATAAATAAAATCTTTAAAAAAAATAAAAAATAAAAATAAATTCTTGCCCATATTTCTGATTTCTTTAGGAAAAACAGAATCAAAAAAGAAGAATTACTGGGTCAAAGGATGACAACTTTGTAGAGGTTCTTTTTTTTTGAGAGACAGAGAGAGCACGAGCAGGGGGAGGAGCAGAGGGAGAGGGAGAAGCAGACTCCTCACTGAGGGAGCCTGATGCAGGGCTCGATCCCAGAACACTGGGATCATCACCTGAGCTGAAAGCAGACGCCCAACCCCCTGAGCCACGCAGGCGCCCCTTTGTAGAGGTTCTTAATGAGTGTTGCCAAGTTATTTTTCAGAAAGGCTGCAACAGTTTTACATTGCAGCATATAAAAAGCACTACTGTGCAGAAATGGAATATTACAAGTTCTTATGTGTTTGCTAATACAGCGGGTAAGTTTTGTTTGTTTGTTTTAAGTAATAAATAGGAATCGCCCTTTGGCACCCTGGAGCCCTAGAGTGGCAGCAGGATTCCCAAAGGTGAGCTTGCATCAAGCAGTGTTTTTATAAAAGTGGTCTTGTTAGGGGCGCCTGGGTGGCTCAGTCGTTAAGCGTCTGCCTTCGGCTCAGGTCATGGTCCCAGGGTCCTGGGATCGAGCCCTGCATCGGGCTCCCCGCTCGGCGGGAAGCCTGCCTCTCCCCCCTCCACTCCCCCTGCCTGTGCTCCTCTCTCACTGTGTCTCTCTCTGTCAAATAAATAAATAAAATCTTTAAAAAAAAAGATTAAAAAAAAAAAGTGGTCTTGTTAGAGAAACGGAACTGGGGCTGTTTACTAGGTGAAACCCCAAAGAGAACACTGAGGTGCTTATGCCATTTCAAGAAGACTTTACTCTTGTATTGAAAGGAAATAAGTTTTGAAGTGGTTCTTCAGCTGTCAGGAAAGGACCACTTCAGCTATTGGTATGGAATTTGCAAGGGGGGAAAGAAGTGGGAAATCTGGTTGGAGGCCTGGTTTTTTCCTGCATCCCTAAGAGCCTGAGATATTCTGTGAGGGCCTGTCGGAGGGTACGGAAGGCCCCAGAGAATTAGTCCCATCTCTGCTCACTTTACCATATCCTACGTCACAGTCAGCTTTCAAACCAGCCTCACAAAGACAGGATTAATCAGACCATTCCCATGTGATGGAAATCCCCACCTCCTGTCACGCAATCCAATGATTCATTTTTTTTTTTTCGGAGCACTTACCACCATTTGCAACCAATCGGAATTATTTTCTTATTCACTGTCAGCTCCCCTTTACTAGAACATGAGCTCTGGGGAAGGAGGGACTATCTCGTTCTCTACAGCAACCCCAGGAACCCAGAACAGTGCCTGACAAAGAACAGCTCAATAATACTTATTCAATGCTGAAGCAGATTTTCTGTGAAGCTCGTGAAGCTTAACTTCAGGGTCTGGCACTTTTAGGGACCCCTGTGATTGCCAGGAGTTGTGGTGTTTTACAGGTGGGCTGAAGTCAGGTTATAAATTGGAAGCTTTTCATACATACAATTTTGGTAAATTGCTTAAAGAAAGGGGCCTGAATCCAAGGCTCTAGTAATAGGTTGTGATCTTTCTCTTCTTCATTAAATACTTCCCATTCGGTACGTGTTCAAATGGCTAGTGTTTGAACAATAATTTTCTTTCTTTTTTTAAATATTTTATTTATATATTTGAGAGAGAGAGAGAGCACGAGCAGAGGGGAGGGGCAGAGAGAGAGGGAGCAGACTCCCCGCTGAGCAGGAAGCCTGGCACGGGACTCGATCCCAGGACCCTGGGATCATGACCTGAGCTGAAAGCAGAGACTTAACCAACTCAGCCACCCAGGAGCCCTAAACAATAATTTTCTTAATACCATTAATTCTTGGGACACCTGGGTGACTCAGTAGTCAAGCGTCTGCCTTCGGCTCAGGTCATGATCTCAGGGTCCTGGGATCGAGCCCCACATCGGGCTCCCTGCTCAGCGGGAAGCCTGCTTCTCCCTCTCCCTCACTTGTATTCCCTCTCTCGCTGTGCCTCTCTCTGTCAAATAAATAAATAAAATCTTAAAAAAAAAATACCATTAATTCTCTCTTTTCTCCCCCTATGTCTTCATTTGTTTTATGCAGATTTTTTTCAACCAGACACATAGATAATCCTTTAACTTTTTATGACCTCATGAAATTATATAGGGATTTTCCTTTTTTTAAGTGTATAACATCGTGATTTAATATTTGTATATATTGCAAAATAATCACCACAATAAGTCCAATTAATATCTGTCACCATACAGTTACAGATTTTTTTTCCTTGTGGTATCTTTTAAGATTTACTATCTTAGCAATTTTCAAATACCCAATACAGTATGATTAGCAATCGTCACCATGCTGTACATCATATCCCCATGACTTACTTATTTTATAAGTGGAAGTTTTTATCTTTGACCCTTGTCCCATTTCACATCCCCCGCACCTCTGCCTCTGGCAATTATCAATCTATCTATTCTCTATCTATACGCTTAGTCTTTTTTCTTAGACTCTACATATGAGATCATATGGTATTTATCTTTCCATTAATTCTCTTTTTTGACAGTACCTATTCATTCCTAACTATGAACAATTATAAATTAATATATACTTACTTTTCTTCCCCATTCAACTCTAGTCTGTTACCTGATCACGGTACTTTTCTTAATGTTCACCTTTGTATTGTTAAATGTTCTTTATCTCTACTACTTGATTTGTCAGCTTTAAGAGATATCTTTTTTTTTTTTTAAAGATTTTTTATTTATTTATTTGACAGAGAGAGACATAGAGAGAGCAGGAACACAAGCAGGGGGAGAGGGAGAAGCAGGCTTCCTGCTGAGCAGGGAGCCCGATGTGGGACTCGATCCCAGGACCCTGGGATCATGACCTGAGCCGAAGGCAGACGCTTAACGACTGAGCCACCCAGGCGCCCAAGAGATATCTTTTGATTTAAGTAAGGAAATGTGGAAAAGACAGAATTCAAATTTTTACCTATAGTAGCAAATAAAAGCAGAAACGCAGCTAGAGGAACCAGTAAGGAATTGCTCAGGGGAAGGGGGGTGACAGAACATAAATTTGGCTACCTCAAAAAACTGCATAAAAGATGGAGAAATAGGGATGTTCCCCACCCCCCAACCGGTACCTTCAGAGATCAAACTACTATGCCTTGTAGAACAAAGGAGAGAACCAGGCATAAAGAAAAATGGTCAGATGTTATGTAAGGATAATTTTTAACATTTCCTTTGTAGATGGATAGTTCTAATGTCTCTCCTATCTGAAACTTTCCTGTTTTACTAGTTAGTTTATAAAGAGTCCGTGAGAACAAAAAAGAATACACACCTCTCCCTCTTCTGACGTTAGAGAAGTCCTCATTTTCTCCACCCCGTCTCTCACGGTGTGGTGCTCCGCTGTTACTCCGCCCATCTTCTCCTCCATGCTTTACTTCACCTTTTCCTTCAACTGCTACCACCTGCATTTCCCCAATGTTGCCTTTTCCAGGAGATCCTTCTTCAGGAAAAGCAGAATATTCCAAGGGCTGATTGGGATCACCATCCAGGTAATCTCGAAATGGTCCAGTGTTTGATGTAAAGCTGTCTAAAGACTACAAATTTAAAACAATACTTAGTTAAAAGCTATAAACATAAGTTTTTATGATAATAGAAGAACTACTGTTCTTATAAAACTTTTGTCATGTTATGATAGAAAATATTTTTCTAAAAAGTTATTCATCTACTGCTTCTTCCTATATGTAGGGAAGAAATGGGATAGAAATGATTTATCCATGAGCAAAGAATTGAGTAGTTTTGGCAATGAATTGTTCTCATGGGTCAGTCATTCATCCAAGAGATTTTTTTAAAAATGTCTAATCTTGGGAACACCTGAGTGGCTCAGACAGTTAAATATGTCTACTCTTATTCTAGTTACTATGCTAAACTCTAAGGATAATATGAAGAAAGAGTTAAAAATCTCTGCAGGAGGCTTCTAGTCTTGGTAAGGGAGTGAAAGAAGTAAGATCATTACAACATAGTTTGATAAGTGTTATGAAAAAGATAGACAATGGGTGCTTGCTACAGGAACTCACGCGAGGGGTGCCATACTGGGGTTGAGTGGAGGCTTCCTGGACGAAATGATATGAACTAAGTAAGTTGGCCATAAAAAAAGAATGAAATTTGGCCATTCTCAACAACATGGATGGACCTAGAGGGTATTAGGCTAAGTGAAATAAGCCAGACAGAGAAAGACAAATACTGTATGATTTCATTTATGTGTGGAATCTGAAAAGCAAACAAAAGCCAAACAACTCTTAAATACAGAAAACTAACTGGTGGTTGCTAGAGGGGAGGTGGATGTGGCAGGGATGGGTGAAATAGATAAAGGGGATTAACAGCTACAAACTTCCAGCTGTAAAATAAGTAAGTCTCGGGGCGCCTGAGTGGCTCAGTCGTTAAGCATCCGCCTTCGGCTCAGGTCATGATCCCAAGGTCCTGGGATCGAGCCCTACATCAGGCTCCCTGCTCCGCGAGAAGCCTGCTTCTCCCTCTCCCACTCCCCCTGCTTGTGTTCCCTCTCTCGCTGTGTCTCTCTCTGTCAAATAAATAAATAAAATCTTTTAAAAAATAAATAAATAAATAAGTCTCAGAGGTGGAAAGTATAGCATAAGAAATATAGTCAACAATATTGTAATAGAGTTGTATGGTAATTACACTTATCGTGGTGAGCACCGAGTAAGTAATGTACAGAATCATTGAATCAACATGTTGTACACCTAAAACTAATATAATATTGTATGTTAATTATACTTTAAAAAAAAAGTCAGTGTGAAAAAATAAAAATAAAAAATAAAAAAATAAAAAAAGTCAGTGTGAAGTACAGATTTATTTGAAAATTATCTACTTTTCTTGACTGTCAATCAATGTTTCAAACATAGGGACTAGCTTTAAGAGTTTACCCTCTGTCTCCCCCATCCCACCTCCCTCAGAATATTTACAAATATAAATATATTATAAATTATAATGTTTAAATATTTTTTAATATTCAAGAATATTATATATTTTTAAAATCACAAAAATAATTTTAAATACAAATGTTTAAATATTTTATAGGGGGGCGCCTGTGTGGCTCAGTCATTAAGTGTCTGCCTTCAGCTCAGGTCATGATCCTGGGGTCTGGGGATCAAGCCCTACATCGGGCTCCCTGCTCTGCGGGAAGCCTGCTTCTCCCTCTCCCTCTGCAGCTTCCCCTGCTTGTGTTCCTTCTCTCCCTGTCTCTCTATCAAATAAATAAATAAAATCTTAAAAAAAAAAATTTTATAGGTATATTTTCAAAGTGATGAACAACATGCACATCTACTATTAAAAGAAGTTATGCAGGGTGCCCGGGTGGTTCAGTTCGTTAAGTGTCTGACTCTTGATTTTGGCTCAGGTCATAATCTGAGGGTTGTGAGATTGAGCCCCCACATCAGGCTTGCACTGGGTGTGGAGTCTGCTTGAGGTTCTCTCCCTTCCTCTCTCTCTGCCCCTCCCCCCACCTCCCACATGCGTGCTCTCTTAAAAAAATAATAATAATAAAATAAAAAATTAAAAAATAAATAAAAGAAGTTATGCACTGAATTCTGATATATCACTTTGAAAATATACCAATTAAAAAATGTCATTTTTACCTCTTCTTGTCCAAATTGCTCCATGCAATCACAGTAAACTTCACTGTCTGAATCACTTGTCAAATGCTGAATTCCTGAAACATCTTCAACATGATTATCATTTATATCTAAAAATGAACAAATGATGGAAAAATTACTCTCTAATTGAAGAAAAATGCATTTATTCCATTCTCAAAATTTATCAGTTCTATATTATTTTCATACTGGAGACAAATTTGATTTATTAAGCCATATTTTTTCTTCTAACTTACCAAAACTTTAAATTTAGTTGATAATTTTTATTTGAAAAGATTATACTTTATCATGTAATTACACAAAGACACTGTCCATATCAAACTGTACAAAACTTAATAACCTTGTAAGAGAAAACTGACTACCAGCTAGGAGGCCTAAATTGGTTTGCAACTATGCAAGTTCAGTTGTTATATTAAATAAGTTTATTTCCTGGTTTTGTGTTTTGTTTTTTTTTTAAGATTTTATTTATTTATTTATTTGACAGAGAGACAGAAAGGAGAGAGGGAACACAAGCAGGGGGAGTGGGAGAGGGAGAAGCAGGCTTCCCACTGAGCAAGGAGCACCACGTTGGGCTCGATCCCAGCACCCTTGGATCATGACCTGAGCCGAAGGCAGACGTTTAACGACTGAGCCACCCAGGTGCCCCTGTTTCCTGGTTTCTTGACTGAATTGCAGCAATGTTCATAATTCATCAACTACATACTATAGGCTCACCCCTAGAGTCCTAAGATATGAAAAGACTATAACTTATCTTGCTGAATGGAAAACAAAGGCATCATATAATCAGAGGTTTAGGTTAAAAGAAACATCAGGAATAAAAGTTAAAAATTTCAAAATTTTAGGGCCGCCTGAGTGGTTCAGTCGTTAAACATCTGCCTTAGGCTCAGGTCATGATCCCAGGGTCCTGGCATCGAGCCCCACATAGGGCTCCCTGCTCCGCGGGGAGCCTGCTTCTCCCTCTCCCACTCCCTCTACTTGTGTTCCCTCTTTCGCTGTGTCTCTCTGTCAAATAAATAAATAAAATCTTAAAAAAATTTTTTTTCAAAATTTTATTTTAAAATGCCATACAACACAATAAGAAAAGTCTCAATAAAAATATAAAAGTTGCCCCTAATTGCACTATCTTTCAAAGCTATACACCCTTATAGTATTAATAAACCCTAGATATTCCTGAATAAGAGATTTTTATAGGAACTCCTTCCTTCCTTTTTTCCTTCCTTCCTTTCTCTCTCTCTCCTCCCTCCCTCCTTCCCTTCCTCCCTCCCTTCCTTCCTTCTTTCTTTTTTTGAGTAGGCTCCATGCCCAGTACAAAGCCCAATGTGGGCTCACGACCCCGAGATCAAGACCCAAGCCGAGATCAAGAGTCGAATACCCAACTTCCTGAACCACCCAGGTGCCCCCTGAATAAGAGGTTTTTAAATTCTAAACTGCGGGCTCCTGGGTGGCTCAGTTGGTTAAGCAACTGCCTTTAGCTCAGGTCGTGATCCCGGAGTCCCGGGATCGAGTCCTGCATCGGGCTCCCTGCTCGGCAGGGAGTCTGCTTCTCCCTCTCACCCTACCCCCTCTTGTGCTCTCTCTCTCTCTGTTTCAAATAAATAAAATAAAATCTTTAAAAAAAAAATAAATAAATTCTAAACTGCTCCTAAACATCCTAAAATAATGAAAACAATATTCCATTCATAGGCAAGAGGCTGGACAGATAATTATTATGGGACAATACCTTGATGAATGCAGACAGCATCTTTTCCAGTTTGCTCCAAGTTTTCATCTACAGCCTTTATTTCTTCAGCACTTCTGCCATTCAAGGAAGAACCGGCATGAATGTCATTCTGTGTATCCTGAGCAGAGTTGTCTTTATCATAGCCATTAGCAACAATGATTTCCAAATTCTTATGGTCTGCAGATTTCTTTTTTTTTTTTTTTAATTTTATTTATTTATTTGACAGACAGAGACACAGCGAGAGAGGGAACACAAGCAGGGGGAGTGGGAGAGGGAGAAGCAGGCTTCCCACGGAGCAGGGAGCTGGATGCGGGGCTCGATCCCAGGACCCCGGGATCATGACCTGAGCCGAAGGCAGACGCTTAACGACTGAGCCACCCAGGTGCCCCTGGTCTGCAGATTTCTTCATCATTTTCTTATCTTTTATAGGAAAGTAGGGGGATTCATAAAAGTTCACAGCAGGTCAATTTCTGTATATATGTTCTAATATCAAGTAATCATTTCTCCAACCTACCATAATTCCTTTTGATCAGTTTCCTACTTGGAACAGAGAGATGAAGTACTCCTTGAACAGGGGTTTGTTATATGCTGAGAGCACACTCAAAACTGCTTCAGTTCCCTGTAAATCTTCTAGAAGCTATTTTATTTTATTTTATTCTATTTTATTCTATTTTATTTTATTTTATTAAGTAGGCTCCACACCCAACATGAGGCTCAAACTCACAACCCCAAGATCAAGAGTCACATGCTCTACCAACTGAGCCAGGCAGGCTTCCCTAGCGCCCCTTTTAAAAGATAACCTCTCAAGGTCTTTACACTCTCTCAAGCATAGGCAAATTGCCTTACAAGACCCAGCAGTACAAAGGGATCCACATAGTCAATAAAAATATCCTTCAAAGAAGGTATTATTTGTCATATCTTTCTAGAGAGTAAAAGCAAAACTAAGTTGTACTTGTGTCTTCCTGCCTCCCCTTTCTCAAATAGTCTTCCCAAGAATCACTGGTACTCTTACTAACAAGCCCTCCCTCCCCCCATGCAGTACCCCATGACTCCAAAGTCCCCTCTTCATCAATCCAGTTCTCTGGATTCCATTCTATTCTTGATAAGGTCTGAGAGTTTAACCTGTCTCCTCTCCTTGGTAACATATGCATAGTCATATTTGGAACAATACCTAAAATGAATACATTTCTTTTTTTAAGTAAATTCTATGCTCAACATGGGGCTTGAACTCACGACTCTGAGATTAACAGTCGCATGCTCTACCGACTGAGTCAGCCAGGCGCTCCATAAAATGAATACATTTCTAATGCAATGTTTCAGGCATTACATTTACAGAAGTGGTCTATTCTTGTTAGTGTTCAATTCCATCTATTCTATCTATGCACAAAGTTGACTGTTCCCGTACTTTTGGCCCACAAAAAACTTGGTTATAAGGTCATTAGCCCACATCCCACCATAAACACTATTCTCATACAACACCAAATCAGCCCAAACCGCTCCATATTTTATTTACTTTATTTTATTCCTTTTAAAGATTTTACTTATGCGGCGGGGCAGGGGGGGTTGGCAGAGGGAGAGGGAGAAGCAGGCCCCCGCAGAGCAGGGAGCCCAATGTGGGGCTCGATCCCAGGACCTCGGGATCATGACCTGAGCTGAAGGCAGATGCTCCACCAACTGAGCCACCCAGGCGCCCCCATACTTTATTTACTTTAATGTTAAATTATTAGCTCATCATCCAAAGATGACCATTATCACTTTGTTCTGCTCCTTTCACTTCTTCTTGGGCCTCTTCTTCCTCAGACTCAGCTCCACTATCACTGCTTTCAGCTTTATCATTAACAGTTTTGGCATTTGGAGTAGAAGTTAGAACATTACCAAGATCTAAAATATGAAATGATCACTTAATCACTAGTGCTATAACATATAATAAGGCTGTAATTTACAAATTATACTGTCATTTACAAATAACTAATAAAATAATTTGGATAAAACTTAAAATTTTTCTTATTCTTTTCTTTGACTATAAGTATACATATATTACATAAACTTCTTCAAGTATCAGTTTACAACAAAAATGACAAAGCTGTCTTAAATCCTTTCTAAACAAGACAGGGAATGTTATTTTTAAGTTAATTATCAATCAAAATAGTAAAGTTAGAGATGAATGATCTTCTTTATACACAGTAAATGAAGAGACATTTGCTATATGCTAGCATACGGAAAACAAATATAACAATCTCATCAATATTATAATTGAACTACATTTTAAAATTGTTTCATCCTTTTATTACCTTTAAGATTTTATATTTATTGTTTTTTTTAAAGCATCAGTTAATGTGATCAATCACTTAAAAAGGCACATACATTGTCCTACTGGCCAGTCAAATGTTGAGGGTAAATACATCGGAACTTCTCAAACATTAACATGCACAGGAATCACCTGAGATCCAGTTAAAATGCAGATTCTGAATCTGTAAGTCTGGAGTGATGTAAGATTCTGCATTTCTGTAAAGCTCTCCTGTGATGCCAATGCTGTTGGTTACTGGACCTCATTTTGAAATATAGGGAATTACATTTCCGTCACTCTCTGAGATAATAAAGGCCTCCTACATGGCTACTGGCCAAAAACAGTGGTCCCTCTCCATAAACTTTTGGGCTCATTTTCACTTATTCAAATGCATTTTGGATGCTTCCCTGCATCCCAAACAACATATTAAATTTCAAAATCTCCATACATCTTAAACAGGAACAAAAGAGTAAGAACTCAACTCTACCACTGCCATTGTGTTCTAGTCTCTTTTAGAGAACCATGCAGCATCATAGTTTATGAATCTCCTTGTTCCCTCCCTGACAACCAGAAAAAGCAAGACTAACAAAAACAAAAAAGAAACAAAACAAAAAACAAAAAAACCAAACCTAAAAACAAGAAAAAAACTAACCAAAAAAACAAAACAAAACAAAAAAACCAAAGAAACAAAAACGCCCACCACTCATGGACATCTTCAACAAAACTAAGCAACAGGGAACCTCTTAAGCCCCCATCAAACGGATGATTGTAGCAAAACTACTTAAGAGCAGCAAAAGCAGCATCACAGCAGTTCTGTGATGAGAGGTGTAGAAAGCACAGAGAATTACCAGCAAGCCCTACTCAACATCCAAAAATCAGTTAATGTAATACACCATACTAACAGAATAAAGGACAAAAGCCACATGATTATCACAATAGATGCAGATAAAGCATTTGACAAAAATCAAATACTTTCATGATAATAATGCTAAAGAAATTAAAAATACAAGAGAATTTCCTCAATCCGATAAAGGGCATCTACAAAAATTCACAACAAGCCTCATAATTAATGCTAAATGACTGAATGTTTTTTGCTCCTAAAATAAGGAAGAAAACAAAGAGGTCTGCTTTTGCCATCTCTATTTAATATGGTACTGGAAGTTCTTGCCATGGCAATTAGACAAGAAAAATAAATAAAAGGCATCCAGATTGAAAAGGAAAAAGTAAAATGGCCTCTGTTTGCAAATGACATGCTCTTGTATACATGAAATCCTAAGGAATCTACCAAAAAAACCTATTAGAACTAACAAAGGGTTCAGTGAGACTGCAGGATACAAGATCAATAAACAAAACAAAAAAGAAACAAACAAAAAAACCAGATTGTATTTCTACAATCTAACAATGAACAGTCCAAAAATGAAATTAGAAAATAATCTATAATAGCAGCAAAAAGAATAAAATGCTCAGCACTACACTTGACAAAAGGTGTAAGAATTTTATACTGCAAATGACAAAACATTGCCGAAAGAAATTAAAAAACTAAATAAATGGATTGGAAGACAATACTGTTGTGATGACAATACTCCTCAAAATGACCTACAATTCATTGCAATCCCTATCAGAATCCTAGGTGACCCTTTCGCAAAAAATTGACAAGCTGATTCTATAATTCAAATGGAAATGCAAAGGATCCAGGATGGTCAAAACAATCCTGAAAAAGGACAAAGTTGGACAGTTCATACTTCCTGATTTCAAAACTATGTACGTATACTATGAAAAAGCCCGTATGACACAGATACATCTGTTCTACTGGGCCTAAGTGGCTACTTTTAATACCACTCTCTGTTCAAAAAAAAAAAAAAAAAGTCAAGATTGCAAACTATGAAACACCCATATACTTTGACCTTGGCTATTCGATTTCTAATATTATTTCTTACAGATATACCTACCCATATATTAAATGACATTTGTACAGGGTTACTTTCAGCAGCGTTTTTTGAAGATTAGAAGAGGAAACAAATATAACACTGTATGTTAACTATACTGAAATTAAAATAAAAAACTTAATATTCCCTTAGAATGTTACAGGTTAAATAAATTATGGTACAGGTCCACATCCCTTATAACCTTTGGATCCAGATATGATTTAAAAAATCCAGTCTTCTAATTTTGCAAAGGTCATATACCAAAGGTACCATATATTATGTAACACCTTCAACAGAGTCTAAGGCAGCTCCCACTAAAAAACAATAATAAATAAAGTTTTGACAGCAACGCATATGAATAGTCACACAAAAATAAAGATTTAAAATAGCCTCATGTCATTTCAGGTCAGGGTCTGCTGCTCAATTAGTTCATGTTCAGTTCTTAATTTTAAAGATACAAGTGGCCACATAAAACTATGTATAAGCTGAAAAATATGCAAAACTGATATAGGATTTTTGGTTGCCTAAAGTAAATGTTTTGCTCTCAAATGAGTTACCAAAAAAAAAAAAAGTCTGGTTTATCAAGCTTTTTGAATTTTTAAATTATAGCTTAGGGATTATGGACCTAAGCCTTTATTATCATTATTCATTCTTCCTTGTCTTTATAATTAGTTGTTTAAACATTTGCCTCCGGGCCAGCTTAAATACAACTAAAAACGGGTCCAGGTTTATTCTCCTCTGAATCCTAGAAACATGCTTCACCCAGAGGAAATACTTAATATTTTTTCTGCATTGACTAGCATGAATTATATGGAAGATTATTTGTTAAACTTTGATTCCTTTAGGCAAATCAGCTATGGAGGATGTGGTTATACGAGCGTTATGCTCAGTGAGCACATCAGTTACTACTGCACACACAAACGGTAGTAGATCTTATAACAGACAGGAAGGTAACTGTTCGCAAACCCCTAATTTCTGTCAATTAGTAAAAGATACCTTGTAAATAGGGATGCCAGGAAAATAAAACATATATAATTTTCATTTGAAATAATTCTTACAGGCTCATTTCACTCTGCTTTCTAAAACAAACAAAAAAAATTTTAAGAGCGAATGTTTACAGTTAGTGCCAGCAAATTTGCCTATTATTCAACTCCTGCTAGTATGTAAAAGATAAGTCTTCCAATTCTTTCCTGAGAACATGAAATTAGAATCTAAAAAAAAAAAAAAAAAAGTCCAAGCTAAGTGAATTCACTGATGTCTTGTTTTAGGTTACTACACTATGTAATTAAACCATACTATAAACATATCCATGTTAAAATTAGCTAGAAAACCATTTTAGCCATGGCACTGTTAATGTAATCCAGAAAGCGAATCAGAAAGTATGATCCATCAAAATATAATCATGAATTCTGTTACAATTCTGTATATTTAGTGAGCCACCTGTCATGTTTTAATAATTGAAGGGTTAAAACTTAAGCATTTATATTTTTGAACTTTATGCAATATATTTGCTTGGAATGAAAACTCTTGAGTGACAAGCTTGTAAGTTATATAAATTTGTGAAAATTCTTTTGGCATGTAAATTTTAAATAAAATGTTTACGTGGATGTCATTATTCCTACCTTCTAAGTATTTAGAGATTTTCTCCAGTTGGACTGGCATGTGAAAGTAAAAAAAAAATTAGAAATATAAATATTAATGCATGCATAATATATCAGTTGCTGGATTAAAAACAAGGTAAGACAGTCCAACCTGAGGTTAAATCAGAAGTTCTGCCACTCTTTTTGTCTTCTACAATTTCATAAAATGGACCTATGACATGTAGCAACTCTTCAGCTTTCTCAGTCATAGGCATAGTTTCAAGAATCTGTAATCAAAAGAAACAAATCTTATGAAATCACAAACTACTAATCTCATATACATTAGTACCAAATAATATAATATTTACAATTTATTTAGTAATATTTTTGAGATCTGATGTTCATTTATAGATTCCCCCAAGTATTTATATTAATTACATACTTAAAAGTGTATACTCTCCTAGAAAAGTTTCAAGTATATTAAAGATTTAAAAGTGTCTTCATTTTGAAGACTGTTTTATATAGGCTTCTTTTAAAATTTTACACAATAACCTATAAATAGTTCATTAAAAACTAAGGGCAGGGTGCCTGGGTGGCTCAGCTGGTTAAGCGACTGCCTTCGGCTCAGGTCATGATCCTGGAGTCCCTGGATCGAGTCCCGCACCAGGCTGCCTGCTCGGCAGGGAGTCTGCTTCTCCCTCTGACCTTCCCCTCTCTCATGTGCTCTCTCTCTCAAATCAATAAATAAAATCTTTAAAAAATAAATAAATAAATAAAAATAAAAACTAAGGGCACTAATGTTAAATACAACAGAAAATTCTGGGGTTAGAGTAAAATTATTTTGTCTGTTCTTTAAGGTAGTGTTTCTAAAAGGACACAAAAGGAAAGTAGGAAACGGTCATCACTTTCAGTCACCTTCACAACTATGGGCCATTTTAGAATTATCAAATTTAAAGAGCAAGGTAAACTAATTGAAAAGGCATTCAAATAAACAGCCATCAACTGGTAACTGATAAAAGAAAATATTTCCATATAGGACATATTTTGTAGATATTTAAAAAGAATAAGGTTAGCTTTGTGAGTGCTGATGGGAAAACATCTTAATTTTTTTTTTTTAAGATTTTATTTATTTATTTGAGACAGAGAGAATGAGAGAGAGAGAACACATGAGAGGGGGGAGGGTCAGAGGGAGAAGCAGGCTCCCTGCCGAGCAGGGAGCCCAATGCGGGACTCGATCCAGGGACTCCAGGATCATGACCTGAGCCGAAGGCAGTTGCTTAACCAACTGAGCCACCCAGGCGCCCCTTAATTTTTTTTTTTTTACAGGCAAAAGGTAGTGAACAGTAGTAGTATGATACCATTATTAGTTTTTTTCTCTTTTTAAATAAGAAGATATAGATACATATATGTGTTTTCCAAATCAATCTACAAAATAGAACTAAAAGTAATTATCACTTAAACAATTAAAATGGAGGAATAGGGAAGACTCACTTTTCATTTTATACTTTTTTTTTGATGTTTGGATTTTTTTCATTTACATATATTACTTTTATTACTAAGATGAACACATTTATTACTCTAAGCAACCAAAATCCTCTATCATTTTTGCATATTTTTCACTTATACACAGTTTTAAAGTGGCCACTTGTATCTTTAAAATTAGGAACAACCTCAGACTCCTCAGTCACTCTCCCTGCTTTATTGTTTGCTTACTGCCTATCTTTCGCAATACAATGTAAGCTCAGTGGAACAAGGCCTTCCTCTGTTTTTCATCGCTCCTGTATTTCCAGCATCTAGCACATACAAGGAATTTAATAAACAAGGCGGGGGTGTGTTGAGAGATTATACAGAATGAACTATGCCAGCCAAATCTCAGTCTAGGTAACTACTCCTTAACCCCAGAGAAGATTTTATTTACAATATAGGTGAACTAAATCAAGTCAATTGGATTGTAACCTATCCAAATGAAGACTATTTGGTGAGCTGCATGGACTCTAAAAGCAGCATCCAAAGCACAATAATTTTTCTAGGTTTCTCTAGCACATTTCCTTGGTAAGAAACATCAATTCTGTATGATGAAAATATCCTATCAAAGGTACAGATACGCTGTATTGTAAAGCAAGAAAAGATTAAATTCCTCAGTTTTTTTGTTTTTTTTGAATCAAAAAGATGAACCAAAAGATGAACACATCTTTTAATGTCATCCAAATCTCAAGTGTTCTACGCTCTGTTCAGTAGACAATCTTACAGTTTCTCAAGTGCCTCTGACATTTTGAGGAGTGTCTTATATCTCAATCCTGAGCCTGTTGTGCACTAGAAGAGTGTAACACCCACTGTAACTTAAGGAATTAGCGTTCTGGGGAAAAAAGAAAAAAGAAATTCACATTCTGGTTTTTCTCTAAATCTCCAAAAGATGGCTATCATCAGTCAAGCCTTAAAAAGAGAAAGCCAATGTTCTGGACTTGTAGAGCTACAGACCAGACCCTCAGCCATGGTAACTTTCAGCTTCCATCCTTTATGAGAGTCTGTTCTAATCTTCCCTCTAGTATAGCGATTATCCCATCCTCTTAGAAATACTGAAATAATTAGTCTGGGGTTATGCTGGGGCATTTTTTTTTTTTAAACAAGATCACCCTAGTGATTTCAATGTGCAGTCAGAGTTGAGTACATCGATCTCTCCTTAAATCCCACACACATACTGCATATTATTCAAGTTCTGGCTGAATTCTCCAGAAATCCTCATTAAGAAAGCCTATAAAATTTGGGGGCGGCTGGCTGGCTCAATCGGTAGAACATGCGACTCAATTTTGGGGTTGTAATTTTGAGCCCCACATTGGGTGTAGAGGTTCTTAAAAATAAAAATCTTTAAAACAAAAACAAAAAAAGCCTGTAAAATTTGTACAGAAAATAAAATTTTATATTTCCTTTTGATAATGAATCAAAATTAACTTTAGTTAGGGCGCCTGGGTGGCTCAGTTGGTTAAGCGACTGCCTTCGGCTCAGGTCATGATCCTGGAGTCCCTGGATCGAGTCCCGCATCGGGCTCCCTGCATGGCAGGGAGTCTGCTTTGCCCTCTGACCCTATCCCCTCTCATGTGTTCTCTCTCATTCTCTCTCTCTCAAATAAATAAATAAAATCTTTAAAAAAAAATTAACTTTAGTTAAAGAAATAAGAAAAATTATTTCCCACAAACCGCATTATTCTGTTCTCTCAAAGCTAAAATCCTATTAAATTATTTTAAAAGAATTTTTGATTCCAGCAACTTTTTGTGTTTTTCACTGAATAGTTTATAAATTACAAAAAGCAATTTTCCACAAAACATTATCTATTATAAGATATAAATTAAATTGATAAGTTCCTTAAACATTTGAAGGCAAAAGCACAGAATGAAATTTATACTAAAAGAGTAATTCTAAAGAACAATAGCACAGTGGACTATATTTACAAATATAATTTAAAAACTGGGTCAGGGGGCGCCTGGGTGGCTCAGTCGGTTGAGCGGCTGCCTTCGGCTCAGGTCATGATCCCTGGGTCCTGGGATCGAGCCCCACGTCGGGCTCCTTCCTCAGCGGGGGAGCCTGCTTCTCCCTCTCCCTCTGCCTGCCACTCCACCTGCTTGTGCTCTCCCTCTCTCTATCTCTATCAAATAAATAAATAAAATCTTAAAAATAAATAAATAAATAAAAATTAATAAAATAAAATAAAATAAAAACTGGTTCAGTTAGTAAATTATTGCAATTAGAAAAAGTCCCAGGGCACCTGGGTGGCTCAGTAGTTAAGCATCTGCCTTCGACTCAGGTCATGATCCCAGGGTCCTGGGATGTAGTGCAGCATCAGGCTCCCTGCTCAGCCTGCTTCTCCCTCTCCCTCTGCCTCTCTCTCTCTCAAATAAATAAATAAAATCTTTTAAAAAATTAAAAAGCCCCAAATTCAGTAATCAAATCTTTGGGACAATGTACTACCCCACACCATTATTTAATACATATATATATTTTTTTAAGTAATCTCTATACCCAGCATGGGGCTCGAACTCACAACCCTGAGATCAAGAGTTGCATACCCTACCAACTGAGCCAGCCAGGTGCCTCTGACTGGCCCCGAAACATCATTATTTAAAAGCATACGATTTAATCTGCCGATGTCCACAAAAGCAAATCTCTGAAAATTCTTTCAGAAACTAATCAAATTTTCAATCGATGGGCATCCTAACATTCTTAGATTTATCTCTAAAAGTTTACTATAAATTTTATTATATTCACCATATGAAAAATGAAATTTTAAAAGTCTGAATGGAAATAGTTGGTATATCCTTTTAATTAGAGAAGTGTTACAGAAATCTACAGGCGCAGTGGAAGTATCTTAAGACAGCTAAAAGGCAGCAGTATAGTTTAAATCCATCTCCCTCCCACTTTAAACTGTAGTACATCATTAATTAATCAAATCGTATAGGGAAAATGGGTAAATTTTACCTAATGTGTCAATTCAACTTTACATGATAGAAGTGTGTCCTAAAAATTAGAATGATATTTAAAGAAAGAAAAGGAAGAGTTACCAAACCAAAAAGGCTTTTGAAAGGCGCCTTTGTTATTGTGCTACTGATATAGTTAACAGCCAAAAGGACCAAACTCTGCCTGCTGTTATAGATAAACCAGGTCCACTAATAAAAACTGTGAAAATTTAACAAAGGGCACAACTTTGAGCAGTACAGAAGAAAACAAAATAAAACAAAACAAATGAATCTCAACCAACCAAACAGAAATTACTTCTAGAAATTAACACTGCCAAACAATCTGGCAACTATTCCTTTGTACAGATTTTCTTTAGGTTCACAGATAATTTATTTAAGATTATCAAACAGACCTAAATTTTACAATTTCTGATCCAGTTCCAAAATAGAAATGGTGCTTTGTAAAAAGACACTAAGAGTATCTTTAAAATCCAGATTTCTTCATAAATTTGCTCCTCAAAACAATCCCTTGAACAGACTTAAAAGAGCTAGTTAGTAAGGAATGCCCTCCTTATTAATTACCAGAGACATTAAAAGAATCCTTATCTTATTCTGCTTCTGAAGGATCTCTGCATTCCCAGAAAAATGCTTGTTACTAAAAAGTCCTGTGATAGGAATATCTCAATTTGTGGGTCCAACTTGATGAGAACCCTGAGGGGCCGGGTTGTTAACTATTTCTCCTAAGTCAAAAGTTCCAGAGCAGAAGTGGTTCCAAGACAGCCCAGGTACTTCCCAGATTCCTGAGAAAGGGACTTCAGTACTTCAAAAGATTCCTATTTCCAAATTTTCTGAAGTGGACAACGGAGAAAGACAGGGAAGATTAAAAAAAAAAAAATCACATCACTACAATGTGATCTTAAGGAAAAAACATTGAGCTTAAGATGAACATTGAGGAGACAGATAAAGCACTAATAAATTCAATAACTTAGATGTTCTATCCTAATATATTATAATCTCTTTGTTCCTTAAAACAAAGCAGCTAATTTGCTTGATAACAAATTAAATTAAAGCTGCTCTGAATATTTTCATTTTCTTTCTTTTTTTTTTTTAACTCATCCTGAGATAAAGATCTGAGCTGAGATCAAGAATCAGACTCGGGCGCCTGGGTGGCTCGGTTGGTTGGGCGACTGCCTTCGGCTTGGGTCATGATCCTGGAGTCCTGGGATCGAGTCCCACATCGGGCTCCTGGCTCGGCGGGGAGCCTGCTTCTCCCTCTGACCCTATCCCCTCTCATGCTGTTTCTCTCTCTCTGTCAAATAAATAAATAAAAACAAAATCTTTAAAAAAATAAAAAAAAGAATCAGACTCTTAACCAACTGAGCCACCCAGGTGCCCCATGAATACTTTCATTTTCTGCTGTGAATTATTCCCCCTACCTTTTTCATTTCTTCAACATATGCAATCATGGCTTCCTCTTTGGTCGTATCACCCAATGAACTCCAAGCATCCCTAGAAATGAGAATATCCAAATAACAAAAAGACACGTTTTCCATTGGCTCAGAATGCAATTTATAGTCAATGCTATAGGGTCATTAATTTAAAACAGGCTCTCTCCTTAAATCCTACACAAAGATACTATGCCCTCAAAGGATCACTTTAAATGTACCATCTTAAAGAAAAGTACCAGAGTAAATAAACTGTCAAATTAAGATTTTTAAATAGCATTTAAAACTAGTAAATACATAGCCCATCTACAGACTATAGATTACAGAGACTATATTATATATACTATAGAACAGACACTATAGACTGTTGAAAAATATTTGCTAGGAACTCTTCAAAAATTTTATATTATAAAGAACAGTGACATGAATGAACATTTTAGAGCTCTACATGAAATGAACTATCACAGCCATGTTTTCAATGAACAGAAGTTTTGCTTAAAAGTTTCCATTAATTTAAACAAGAGTCTAACTTATACACTCAAAAAAGACAAGTGGTTTCCTACTTCTAAAAAAAACAAAAATGTGAGGCAGAGGACATTTTTAAACCCCTAGATAATGAGAACAGTCCTTTGAAATTTTTGCCTAAAATGAAAACCTTTCTTTTTACAGAAGCAGTTTAAATCAACCAATGGTCATTTCTGAGGAAAAATCATAAAGTAAATCAATTTTCTTAAAACAGATTAAGTAACATACTGCTATTACATTTAACCTATTATCTATGACTATTCATAAAGAACTTAGAGGAAAGTACAGTACTAAGAAATCCTCAAAGGAGTTTAAGGACTTCCAATTCAGTGTAAAGAAATTTAGCCATTGGGCACCTGTGTGGCTCAGTAAGTTGGGCATCTGCCTTCAGCTCAGGTCATGATCCCGGACACCTAGGATCGAGCCCTGCATCAGGTTCCCTGCTCAGCAGGGAGTCTGCTTCTCTCTCTGCCCCTCACCCTGCTCGTGCTCTCTCTCTCTCTCTCAAATAAACAAATGGAATTAAAAAAAAAAGAAATTAAGCCATCAAAATGTGTGGCTCTTAAGACATGCTTCACCAATTAGCATACTCTGTTCATGACGTACAGTCTATGTTACAGAGGTATCTCTGGCTATTTTATGATTCTCTTAAGTATATTAAAAATCAAATTTCTATTCAAGTACAGTGGGACAGGAGGGACACAGCCTAGATAAAAAGTTAGCACAGTAGTCCCTTAGTCATACACCTAGTTATCATCTAAAGGCTCAAGGCAAACAGTGTCACTTGGCAAGTAAAGTCATTATTTTTCTTGGTAGGTACAAGAGGCAGAAGAGTTTGTTTGTTTGTTTAACTGACTTTGGGAGTTGCTCTTACAATAAATGAAAAAAACTCTATCAAAGGAAAGACGAACTGAAAATGATATTTTTTTTATCTTTGATACACCTTTTGGTTTTATTCTCTTCTCTTCCCCAAGACTTTTCTATTTGTATGAAATTGTGTTAAAAGCACATGGAAGATAAAAATTGGATCTAGTACGTTAGAACACTTCTGCTCAGAATAATATATAACCACATAAATAAGTCATATGATAATTATGTTACTAAAATAAAATTCCTTTCATAGCTCTCTATATGAAATTACCATTTGTATCTTCCAATAGGATCCCAGAATCCAGGCCTTGAAAGTTTACAGGGTCCTTCAGTTGCCTGCTTATAGAAGCTATAGAATTTGAGCATCATTTCATTTGTTGGCTGAAATGAACCTATTGGAAACATATTAAATACAGATCACTGGAGAATACAATCGATAATCTAAGGCTATAAATCAGCTTAGCTAAATATTTCATTAATAGTTCAGATAATCTTTTATTTTTGTCTTACAGAAACAAACGTTATGGCTCTATTAGTTGCTATACTCTTTTGATTAAAAAAAATCTCAGATTTTTACAAGTGAACAAACATGCTGTAGGTGTTATTAAAATAACTGGCAAATGTCATTTAAAAAAAGCAATATATGAAAATATAGAATAACTGCATTATGCAACTATAATAAGGTATTTTTTATTCAAAGATTGTGACAAACCAAACTGACTAGCATAAATGAAAAAGTTAAATGTACACTCTGCTTAACGGAACTTCAATACTAAGAAATTCAACTCCTCAGGGCGCCTGGGTGGCTCAGTTGGTTGAGCATCTGCCTTCGGCTTAGGTCATAATCCCAGAGTCCTGGGATCAAGCCCCCAGTTGGGCTCCCTGCTCAGCAGGGAGTCTGCTTCTCCCCCTTCTTCCCATTCTTGCTCTCTCTATCTCTGTCTCTCTCAAATAAATAAATAAAATATTTTTAAAAAGAAGAAAGAAATTCAATTTTCTTGGCCAAATTTCAACTTCTTGATGAATAAGGAAGTTTGGCTAAAATCAACCAGTGTGTGCTGTGGTAGAAAAAGAATTAATCTAGGGCACCTGGGTGGCTCAGTCATTAAGCGTCTGCCTTCGGCTCAGGTCATGATCCCGGGATCCTGGGATCAAGCCCCACTTTGGGCTCCCTGCTCCGCGGGAAGCCTGCTTCTCCCTCTCCCACTCCCCCTGCTCGTGTTCCCTCTCTCTGTGTCTCTCTCTGTCAAGTAAATAAAATCTTTAAAAAAAAAAAAAAAGAATTAATCCAAGATAAAAGAGATTTCTCGGGGCGCCTGGGTGGCTCAGTAGGTTAGGCCTCTGCCTTCAGCTCAGGTCATGATCCCCGAGTCCTGGGATTGAGTCCCGAATGGGGCTCCCTGCTCAGCGGGGAGTCTGCTTCTCCCTCTGCCTGCCGCTCCCCGATTGTGCTCTCCGACAAATAAATAAAATCTTAAAAAAAAAAAGACATTTCTCACTTCCTACCTCTGCAATATTGGACACGTCAATTTCATTGAAAATCAGCCTTCATATATGTCCCTAGCATATCTATAACCTTTTTTTTTTTTAAAGATTTTATTTATTTATTTGAGACAGAGAGAATGAGAGACAGACGGCATGAGAGGGAAGAGGGTCAGAGGGAGCAGCAGACTCCCTGCCGAGCAGGGAGCCCGATGCGGGACTCGATCCAGGGACTCCAGGATCATGACCTGAGCCGAAGGCAGTCGCCCAACCAACTGAGCCACCCAGGCGCCCCTCTATAACCTTTTTTATGTTAAAATTTTCTAATTGTGGGGTGCTTGGATGGCTCAGCCAGCTAACCATCAACCTTCGGCTTGGGTCATGGTCCCGGGGTCCTGGGATCGAGTCCCATGTCGGGCTCCCTGCTCAGCAGGGAGCCTGCTTCTCCCTCTCCCTCTGCCCCTTCCCCCTGCTCGTGCTCTCTCTCTCTCTCAAATAAATAAATAAAATCTTTAAAAAAAAATTTCAAATTGTATGCATGAGTGTTATAAGTTGCAATACTTAATAAAAGGGAAAATTGGAATGCAAATGTTTTATAATAAATAATTACCTAAATAATTATGATACATATATACAACAGAATAGTTTATAACTACAGCCCTTAAAAATTATATGGCATGAAAGTATAAACAATGGCTTAAGAAAAATTTCACAATCTACTATAAAGTGAGAAAAAACAGTAGTTTAAAAATAGCATATCCGGGGCGCCTGGGTGGCTCAGTCATTAAGCCTCTGCCTTCGGCTCAGGTCATGATCCCGGAGTCCTGGGATCAAGCCCCGCATCGGGCTCCCTGCTCCGCGGGAAGCCTGCTTCTCCCTCTCCCACTACCCCTGCTTGTGTTCCCTCTCTAGCTGTCTCTCTCTCTGTCAAATAAATAAATAAAATCTTAAAAAAAAAAAAAAAAGAAAAAAAATACTCTGAAAAATTAAAAAAAAAAATCCTCTTGCTTTAGATCTTGGAGTTCTTCCAGGACGCCAAAGTGTTAACAAACTAACAGTTTTTGTAATTTACTCAAACTAGGAAGAATGTATGTGTTTTATTTTTTTTTAATTTACGTGTTTTAATATCTGCTGCTTCCTCTCTTTGTATTATATTCATTTCAGTTTCAATCTGTTCAGTCATGCATACTTATAAAAGGGCTGGGGTGTTTATTTCTAAGTCTTCATTTTGACAACTCTTCAATAAGTTTATGTAATAAGCAAATGTATAGTATGTTGGTCTTTAGGTACGGATGAATAGGAATTTTCTGTCAGTGGTTTTGTGGAATTTCCATTTGCAGGTAGTGTGGATTTCCAATCAAGGAGAATAGCATAAGGAGAAAGGAAATTGAGATTATTCAGATAAAGGTATTTTAAAAGTAGCTCTCTCATGTAGCTGTGCTGATTTATATGTGGTAACTCCTACTGAAACACAATGATGAATATGATGGATTGACTCAGTTCCTAAGCTGCCTTCCATTTATGTGAACAACCTATAATTCTACCTAAAATATATCTCATGGAACACTAGTTAATATCTTTCAGTACCTTCAGAACAGTGCCTGATATGAAGCATTGTTTTTTGTTTTTTTTTTAAAGATTTTATTTATTTATTTGACAGAGACAGAGATAGCGAGAGCAGGAACACAAGCAGCGGGAGTGGGAGAGGGAGAGCAGGCTTCCCACCGAGGAGGGAACCTGATGTGGGACTCGATCCCAGGACCCTGAGATCATGGCCTGAGCCGAAGGCAGACGCTTAACGACTGAGCCACCCAGGCGCCCTGAAGCATTGTTTTTTTAACTGAGATTTAATTGACATACAACATTATATTCGTTTCAGGTGTACAAAATAATGATTGTTTATTTGTACATACTACTAAATGATCGCCATAATAAGTGAAGCATTCTTTTATTCTTTTAAAGATTTTATTTATTTATTTGACAGAGAGCCCAAGCAGGAGGGAGCGAAAGGCAGAGGGAGAGGGAGAAGCAGGCTACCCACTGAGCAGGGAGCCCGGCCCGCGGAAAGGCAGATAGATGTTTAACCAACCGAGCCACCCAGGCGCTCTAAGTGAAGCATTCCTGCTTGTGTCTTTCTAGAGATATTTTAATTAAGAATGGGCCCACTTCTTACACATGACCATAAAAAAGGTAAAATAGTATCTTTATGTGTTTTAATAAACCTAAAGGAGTAAATTTTAAAATAACCGAAAAATTATTCTTTTTTTTTTTTTTCTTTTAAATTCGGCAGGTGAGTTGTTACACACTCCTTAGCGGATTCCAAATTATTCTTTTAGATGCTCTTTACAAGCATTTTTAAACTCCTACTATGTCCCATGGGACGTAATTAACACTGAGTTTACAAAGCCCCTCAGGGAACTCAGTCTAGGGTGGTAAGTAGCCATGTAATATAATAATCACAACACAATGCAAAAGTGTTAAAATTGAAGGATATAAAAAGTGCTATAGTATGTACACAAAAACAAGTACATAAATGTTCATAACAGTACTATTTGGTAACAGCCCAAATTTGGAAACAACTCAGTGACCATGAACAGTAGAATAGATACTACTGAAGAGCAGTGAGAACAAATGAACCACACCTATTCAACATCTATGTATCTCATAGACTTAATGTTGAGGGAAAAGAATCTAAATTCAAAAGAGAACATAATGTGTGATGCCATTTATATAAATTTCAAAAACAGGCAAAAGCAACATGTTTAAATTCAGGCTGGAGATGCAGTGTCTGGAAAAGGTTAAGGGAAACTTGGGGTTCTAGTAACATACTATTTCTTGAATTAGATGCTTATTACATGAGTATGTTCAATTTGTGACACTATTGAAATGTATAATTAAGATTTATTTGAAGCCTAAAAAAACAAGTGAATAAATAAAAAGCAGAATCAGACCTATAAATACAAAGAACAAACTGATGGTTGCCAGAAGAGAAGGAGTGGTGGATTGGGCACAATGGGTGAAGGAGAGACAAAAATACAGGTTTCCAGCTATGGGATGAATAAGGCATGGGAGTAAAAGGCACAGCATAAGGAATATAGTCAGTGATACTGTAATAGTGATATAATTGGACAGATGGTAGCTACACTTGTGGTGAACATAGCATAATGTATAAATTTGTCAAATCGCTAAGTTGTACACCTGAAACTAATGAAACATTGTGTGTCAGCAATACTCAAAGAAAAAAAGGGGGGTTCAGTCGGTTAGGTGTCTGCCTTTGGCTCAGGTTATGAGCCTGTGTCAGGCTCCCTGTTCAGTGGGGAGTCTGCTTCTCCCTCTCACTCTGCCCCTATCCCCTGCTTGTGTGTGTACTCTCTCTCTCAGTCAAATGAATAAATCTTTAAAAAAAATTTTTTAAGGGCGCCTGGGTGGCTCAGTTGGTTAAGTGACTGCCTTCGGCTCAGGTCATGATCCTGGAGTCCCGGGATCGAGTCCCACATCGGGCTCCCTGCTCGGCAGGAAGTCTGCTTCTCCCTCTGACCCTCTCATGCTCTCTCTGTCTCATTCTCTCTCTCAGATAAATAAATAAAGTCTTTTAAAAAAAATTTTTTTTTAAGAAAAAGGGCATCTGTGTGGCTCAGTCGGTTAAGCTTCTGCTTTCGGCTCAGGTCATGATCCTGGAGTCCCGGGATCGAGCCCCACATCGGGCTCCCTGCTCGGCGGGGAGTCTGCTTCTCCCTCTGACCTTCCCCCCTCTCATACTCTCTCTCTCTCTCAAATAAATAAAACCTTCAAGAAAAAAAAGAGAAAATCTCTTCTTTAACTCTCTTAAAAAAAGATTTATTTTTCTTTGTGTATGTTATACTTCATTTAAAATTGACATTTAAAAAATTGTACATGTAGGGGCACCTGACTGTCTCAGTTGGTAGAACATGTGACTCTTGATCTCAGGGTTGTAAATTCAAGCCCCATGCTGGATGTAGAGATTACTTAAAAATAAAATCTTTTAATGAGCACCTGGGTAGCTCAGTCGGTTGAGTGTCCA